ACTACTCGGGAGGCTAAGGCAGGAGAATTGCTTGAACCCAGGAGACAGAGGTTGCGGTGAGCCGAGATCGTGCCATTGCACTCCAGTCTGGGTAACAACAGCGAAACTGTCTTAAAAAAAAAAAAAAGTAGTAGGTGCTATGAAGGGATACAGAACAGAGTCAAAGAGGGTAGCAGATGTAGTGAACAAAGACATGGCATTACGCTGAAATTGGAATGATGATCAGTAATCAAAGATCAGAACAAAGAGTCATCCAGGTAGAATTCCAAGAGCAAGGACCTTGAGGTGAGAGCAAGATGGGGATGCTGAGGAACTTAGTGTTATTGCAGCTGCTAATACATGTTCAGTGACTGGTGGGGGCAGATTCCATAGTTAAGGGAAAGGGACATTCCTAAATTACACAAAGATTCTTTGCTTGGCCAAACTTTAGTCAGATTTCCAACCTTCTCCTAGGCCCTGCTGTGTGCTTTCTTGTATAATCCAGTTTTGGCAAAGAACCTTGCTAACAGTTTAGCTACAATCCTCAATCCTTATATTTTATCACCCTAGATCTCTGATTAGATTCTTCATCCCCTACCATCCTCCAGGAAGTGTCTGAGCACCCTGGCCTGTCTTTAGCAAGAGTCCTGTTAGGTTGGTTTAGTCAGAATCCCACTTACTCTGCTCCTTGGCTACAAATTCCCTCCTGGGCATGCTGTTTTTGGAGTTGAGACCAATCTCTCTCCCCCACTGCAAGACCCTATTGCAGTGGTCCCTCTACAAATGGTCTTGAAAAAAGGCTTCCTTTGGTGCTCGAATAGTGCTACTGAATAATTTTTATTTATTTTTAATTTTTTTTATTAAGATGGGGTTTCACCTTGATGGCCAGGCTGGTCTTGAACTCCTGACCTCAGGTGATCCACCCACCGCGGCCTCCCAAAGTGGTAGGATTACAGGCGTGAGCCGCCGCCCCCGGCCTTTTTTTTTTTTTTTTTTTAAATACCACCCTATCTCCCTATCTTTCCACAGTTCAGGTCCCTTTATCCCTGTCTCCCAGTTTACTTTAATCTAACCCCTTTCACTTTCTACTCCCAAAATCTGTCCTATTTCCTTACCAGTTCAGCTGTGTCCACACTGCCCCATCTCTCCAAGATCCTCACCCTCAGGGGAAAAAACCCCATGTATTGGACCCTCTCCCTCCAATTCTCACTTTTCCCTTAGGCCTCGCCCACAATATTAAGCTTTTCATGCTTTACTCCCCAATCTTGGACCACACTACTGCAGTCCTTTTTTTCTTTTTTTGAGATGGAGTCTCACTCTGTTGCCAGGGTGGAGCGCAGTAGCGCCATCTCAGCTCGCTCCAGTCTTTGCCTCCCGGGTTCAAACCATTCTCCTGCCTCAGCCTCGCAAGTAGCTGGGATTACAGGAGCGCACTACCACACCCAGCTACTTTTTTCTATTTTTAGTAGAGACCGGGTTTCACCATATTGACCAGGATGATCTTGAACTCCTGATCTCAGGTGATCCGCCCGTCTTAGCCTCCCAAAGTGCTGGGATTACAGGCGCGAGCTACCGCGCCCGGCCTTCTGCAGTCCTTTCTTAAAAACATCAACCCAACTTTAAACCTTCCAGACACTATCATTCAAGTCATCCAGTCTCCCAGGCCCTGGCCCTCAAGCGCCCTTTCCTCAAACTCCGCCCCTCGACTTCTCCTAACCTTTCTCGTCGGTACCGCCCCTCAAATCTCCCTCCACTGTAGCCTCGGCCCCCCATTTTCTCTAACTTCAATGCCCGCCGCTCCAGTCCAGTTCCTCTCCCTTCTCCACACCTCAACGCTGCATCCCTCAGTCCCCGCCTCTCAATTTCCTCCTGAGAAATCCAGACACCTCTCTAACGCCTGCTCTCCAGACCTCCGCCCCCCTATTAGTTCCGCCTTCTCTTCCGCCAGCCAGATCCGCCCTTCCCTCTCGCAGGCCAGCCCCCGACGTCTCTCTCGCTCCGGCAGGTTTTTCCGAAACCGTCGCTCGTACCAGTCCATGAGGCTGAAGTAGTCTCGAGTGGGGTCAGGTGCCTGCAGCGCTCGGCACTGTGGGCAGAAGAACCCGTTCTCCCGCCCCGGGCCCCCTGGGCTGCCGCAATTCCAACAGAGGGGCGAATTGCCTCCCGCCTGCGACGCAGGATCGCAGCTTAGCGGTCTCCTTCCGGGAACCCCGGGCGGCCAAAACCCCCACACCCGGAGCAAAGCCCCAGCTCTCCGCCGCCACATCTTGCCGGCGGCCTATCTAGCCGCGGTCACTAGTGGGGAAAAGCAGAGAGAGCGGCCAACCAGACTAATGCTGCTGATTGGTCGGGGAGTCGAGGGGGCGGGAACAACCGAGGGGAATCTGGGTTCTGAGTTCCGCTCTGCCTTCTAAACTACAACTCCCAGGAAGCATTGAGGCGACGCCTGACGGCTACATCTGCTGCTTCTCATTGGTCCGGCGGCAGGGGAGGGCGTTTTGATTGGCTGAGGGTGGAGTTTGTATCTGCAGGTTTAGCGCCACTCAGCTGGCTGAGGCTGCGGAGAGTGTGCGGCTCCAGGTGGGCTCACGCGGTGAGTCATATGGGGACCTTCTGTTGGGTGTTAGGTGGTTCGAATCCCATCCTCAGCGTTTTGTGCGAGGGGAGTCTCCTGAGCTTCGCTTTGTTTGTATTTTTGAGCTGAAGGGGGAGTGTGTGGGCGACTCTCTTCCTTTTTAGTAGATCATCCTCGAGGTGAAATTCACTTCCCGTGTTACTTACAAGCTGAAACAGGCCTGAACATACAGGATAAGAAGGAACAGAGTTGTGTTCTTCAATATCAGAACGAAGTTACTTTGTAAAAAGTTCTACAGATGTTTGTAATCATTTCCGTTCTTTAGGTTCAATATCTAAAATACTTACAGAGAGACCAGTCTTAGCTACTGGGCGCTGCAGGAACTGGAAACGCACTGAGGTGTGTAGGAGGATGTTCTGCAAGTGTCCCTAAGTATATGGGATGGGGTGGCCAGGAGTGGGCAGGAGGACATTAGTCCTCCTTCGGACTCAGGTTTTCTAGGTGAAAAAAAGATGGTGTTTCACTTGTAAGTCCTCTGGATTTTTTTTTTAAATTACTTATTTGTGATATAAAACATACATATATGATTTACCATTTGTACCATTTTAAAGTATACAATTCAGTGATGATAAACACATATTCTTTTCTTTTTTTTTTCTTTTTTTTTTTTAATTTGAGACAGAGTTTTGCTCTTGTTGCCCAGGCTGGAGTGCAAGGGCGCAATCTTGGCTCACCGTAACCAGTTTCTCCTGGGTTCAAGCGATTCTCCCGCCTCAGCCTCCCTAGTAGCTGGGATTACAAGCATTTGCCACCACGCCCAGCTAATTTTGTATTTTTAGTAGAGACAGGGTTTCTCCACGTTGGTCAGGCTGATCTTAAACTCCCGACCTCAGGTGACCCTCCTGCCTCGGCCTCCCAAAGTGTTGAGATTGCTCCACCTAAGCTGGAGTGCAGTGGTGCGATCTTAGCTTACTGCAACCTCTGTCTCCTGGGTTCAAGCAGTTCTTGTGTCTTATCTTCCCAAGTAACTGGGATTACAGGCACGAGCCACCATGCCCAGCTAATTTTTTGTATTTTTAGTAGAGATGCAGTTTCGCCATATTGGCCAGGCTGGTCTTGAACTCTTGACTTTCATGTGATCCACCTGCCTCAGCCTCCCAAAGTGCTGGGATTACAGATATGTCCACTTGCCTCAGCCTTCCAAAGTGCTGGGATTACGGAAGTGAGCCACCGTGCCTGGCCTGCCCATTTCTTAGATTGGATTATTTGTCTTTTTGCAGTTGAGTTATTTAATCTCCTTATATATTCTGATTATTCATCCCTTGTCAGATAGCTAGTTTCCCAATGTTTTTTCCCATTCTGTGAGTTGTCTCTTCACTTTATTCGTTGTTTGCTTTGCTGTGCTTTTTAGCTTGATGAAATCCCAGTTGTCTGTTTTGCTTTAGTTGCCTGTGCTTTTGAGGTCTTATACAAAAAACCTCAGCTCAGACAATGTCCTGAAGCGCTTCTCCAGTGTTTTTTTTTTTTTTTTAAAGATGGGGTTTCAGACCTGGCGCAGTGGCTCACGTCTGTAATCCTAGCACTTTGGGAGGCTGAGGCAGGCGGACCACAAGGTCAAGAGATCGAGACCATCCTGGTCAACATGGTGAAACCCTGTCTCTACTAAAAATACAAAAAATTAGCTGGGCATGGTGGTGCATGCCTCTAATCCCAGCTACTCAGGAGGCTGAGGCAGGAGAATTTCCTGAACCCAGGAGGCGGAGGTTGCGGTGAGCTGAGATCGCGCCATTGCACTCCAGCCTGGGTAACAAGAGCGAAACTCCATCTCAAAAAAAAAAAAAAGATGGGGTTTCACCATGATGGCCAGGCTGGTCTTGAACTCCTGACCTCAGGTGATCCACCCACCTTGGCCTCCCAAAGTTCTAGGATTGCAGGCGTGAGCCACCGTGCCCGGCCTTTCCAGTGTTTTCTTCTAGTAGTTTATAGGTTTTGGGACTGGGCTTCCGTTTATAGTCCTGGAGTTTTGCTGCCCTCACTTTGGTTTTTCACTCACTACTCTGCATGGCTTTCCAATAATAATATCTCCCAGACAGCAAGTGTGGGTGGGTGTGGGAGTATTACATGCATCACTTCACTTAATCCTCACCATCTGTCTACTTTTTTTCAGATGAGAAAACAGGCTTAGAGAAGTTGTGATCTACCTGAAGTCATGCACAGTTTGATTCAAGTGTCTGATCCGCCTGTCTCTAATCTCTCATAGCAACTTGTTGACACATTTTCTCCAGTTGTCCTGTCTTGCTCAAAAAGCTGTGGGGAAGACTCAGCCTGGCTGAGGTAGTATTAGACCAGCAGGCCCTGGAGCAGCTTACTCAGTTGTGGTATTGCCTTCCTGGTATGTTTTAAAGAAAACTCATCAGAACCTTTGTATCTTTTTTTTTTCCCCCTTAAGACAGGGTCTTGCTCTGTTGCCCAGGCTGGAGTGCAGGCTCAATCACAGCTCACTGCAGCCTCAACCTTCTAGGTTCAAGTGATCCTCCCATCTCAGCCTCCCAAGTAGCTGGGATTACAGGTGTATACCACCATGCCCAGCTAATTTTTTGTTTTTTTCTGTAGATACTGGGTCTTACCATGGTGCCCAGGCTGGTCCCAAATTCCTGGTCTTGAGCCATTCTGCCTGCCTTGGCCTCCTAAAGTGCTGTGATTACAGGCATGAGCCACTACACCTGGCAGAACCTTTGTATTTTGAAAGCTTTGTAAATATAGTCAGGGTGGGTATCGTAGTCTCTCCTTATCAGCAATAGTAGTTTCAGTTACCAATGGTCAGCTGGGATCTGAAATATTAAGTGGAAAATTCAGAAGTTTTCATAAATAATCAATTCAGGGCCAGGCTTGGTGGCTCATGCCTATAATCCTAGCACTTTGGGAGGCTGAGGTGGGTGGATCACCTGAGGTCAGAAGTTCAAGACCAGCCCGGCCAAAATGGTGAAACCCTGTCTGTACTAAAAAAAAGTATAAAAATTAGCCAGGCATTGTGGTGTGTGCCTGTAATTCCAGCTACTTGGAAGGCTGAGGTAGGAGAATTGCTTGAACCCAGGAGGCGGAGGTTGCAGTGAGCCAAGATCGCACCACTGCACTCCAGCCTGGGTGACTGAGTGAGACTGTCTCAAAAAAAAAAATCAAGAAGTCTTAAATTATGTGGTTTTGCAATGCTTTTTTCAAGTCACCCTTGTATTTAATAATGGCCCCAAAGCCAAAGATACTGGCAGTTTCGATATTGCAAAGAGAAGCTGTAAAGTGTTTCCTTTAACAAAAAGGTGAAAGATCTCAACTTAATAAGGAAAGAGCTGGGCATGGTGGCTTATGCCTGTAATCTCAGCACTTTGAGAGGCTGACGTGGCTGGATCAGGCTGGAGTTCGAAACCAGCCTGACCAACAGGGAGAAACCCTATCTCTACTAAGAATACAAAATTAGCTGGGTGTGGTGGCACAAGCCTGTAATCTTAGCTATTCAGGAGCCTGAGAAAGGGGAATCACTTGAACATGGGAGGTGGAGGTTGCAGTGAGCCGAGTTCATGCCATTGCAGTCCAGCCAGGACGACAAGATCAAAACTCCATCTCAAAAAAAAAAGGAAAGACAAGAATTGTATGCTGAGGCTGGTAACATCTGTGGTAAGAACAATCTTCTATTTGTGAAATTGTGAAGAAGGAAAAAGAAAGTTGTGCATAGTTTATATAGAGTTCTGTACTATGTGAGGTTTCAGGCATTCACTGGGGGGTCTTGGATCTTATCCCTCTCTGATGGTAGGGACTACAATAGTGTTGTTGACTGTTCTCTTGGAGTGTGGGGAGGAAGAGAATGTCCTCGCCCCACACTTTTTTTTTGTTAATCCGATTAAAACAGAAGTGGACATTACTTTGGTTTTACTGGTGGTTCTGCTATCAGAGTCTTGTTTTGTTTTCTGTTCTTTGGAGATAGGGTCTCACTCTGCCACCCAGGGTGGTGTGTAAGTGGTATGATCGTAGCTCACTGCAGTCTTTCCTGGGGTCAAGCAATCTTCCCACCTCACCTTTCCAAGTAGCTGAGGTCACAGCTGCATGCCACCATGCCTAATTTTCTTATTTTTTTGTACAGAGGGGTTCTTACTATGTTGGCCAGGCTGGTATTGAACTTGTGGCATCAAGTGATCCTCTTGCCTCGGCCCCCAAAGTGCTGGGATTATAGGTATGAGCCACTGCACCCAGCCTGTTATGAGAGCCTACCTGTCATAGGCTCTCATATTTTTATTTTTGAGATAGAGTCTTACTCTGTCACCCAGGCTGGAGTACAGGGGCGCAATCTCGGCTCACTACAATCTCTGCCGCCTGGATTCAAGCAATTCTCCTGCCTCAGCCTCCTGAGTATCTGGGATTACAGGTGCCTGGTACTGCACCTGGCTAATTTTTGTTGCTTTAGTAGAGACGAGGTTTCACCATCTTGGCCAGGTTGGTCTTGAACTCCTGATCTCATGATCCACCCATCTCAGTCTCCCAAAGTGCTGGGATTACAGGCGTGAGCCACTGCACCCAGCCCCATCAGATTAATTCTAAGACAAGGTGGGGAGACTCTTACAGTCTCCAGTTTATGAAGGAATGGTTCCTGCAAGATTCCATCAAGCCAAGAAGGTCATTTAGGAGGCTGAAAAGATGAGCCCTATAGTTACTTAGCATCACAAAGGGGTAGGTGGAGTTGTTTAGAACTGTCTTCCTTTGTGTTGTGCCTCATTAAGTAGTTGATTCCTTAGGTGTCAGGGAATCTAGATTGAATAAACAGGTGTGTTTCCCTTTAGGAGCAAGCCTGGGGGGAAAAGGATACCAGTGACATTTTATGTAAATGGACCCTTTGGAGTAATGCAGCAGGTTATTTTACAATTTCTTTTTGACTTCTACTCCAAGTCACCTGATTCTTTGTCTTCTTTCTCTTTCCAAAAATCACAGATGCTCCTCAACTTTAATGACATTACATCTAAATAAGCCCATTCTAAGTTGAAAATATTGTTAAATTGAAAATACATTTAATACACCTAACATACCAAACAGTTTAGCCTACCCTACTTTGTGCTCATAATGTAGCAGGAAAGGCCGCAAAACAAACTTCTCAAACACCGAACTGGAAAGGAAGGGGTGATTTATTCAGCCTGGAGCAGCTGCCGAATGGATGCCTAATAGCGTAGTTGCCTAACAGCTGAGCTCCCCCATCAGAGAAAATCCTTGCCCTTTTAAAGGCTTACAACTCTTGAAATTACATGTCAAAGGGTCTTGATCCATGAAGTAGGTGTAGGGTATATGACTTAGTTGGGGGTTTGATGGGGTGTAAGTAATAACAATGCCTTCCGGAAAGATTCCTCCATACCAAGGCTGCGACCTATTGGAGTGTGATTAAGGGTGGCGCCTGCGTCTGCCAGCTTTTACTTCTACTGAAATGCAACGTAGAAGTCTAGGGGGAAGGGCTCTTAGAAGCTTAAGAGGATTAAGGGTCTCCTTTCTCAAGAACACTTACATTTGGCTACGGTTGGCCAAAATTATCTAACACAAAAATTATTATTATTTTTTTGTAGAGGTGGGGTCTCAAACACCTGCCCTCAAGCAATCCTTCCACCTCAGCCTCCCAAAGTTTTGGGATTACAGGTGTAAGTCGCTGCATCTAGCCTATTTTATTTTTAAATTTTATTTTGTTTATTTTTGAGACGAAGTCTTGCTCTTGTTGCCCAGGCTGGAGTGCAATGGCGCAATCTCGGCTCACTGCAACCTCCGCCTCCTGGGTTCAAGTGATTCTCCTGCCTCAGCCTCCTGAGTAGCTGGGATTACAGGCATGTGCTACCATGCCTAGCTAATTTTGTATTTTTAGTAGAGATGGGTTTTCTCCATGTTGGTCAAGCTGGTCTTGAACTCCCAACCTCAGGTGATCTGCCCACCTGGGCTTCCCAAAATTCTGGGATTACAGGTGTGAACCACCACACCCAGGCTATTTTATTTATTTATTTAGAGATAGGATTTCACTCCTATTACCCAGGCTGTAGTGCAGTGGTGCCATCTCAGCTCACTGCAACCTCCATCTCCAGGGCTCAAGTGATTCTCCTGTCTCAGCCTCCTGAGTAGCTGGGACTACAGGCGAATGCCACCACACCTCACTAATTTTTCTATTTTTAGTGGAGACAGGGTTTCGCAATGTTGACCTGGCTGGTCTTAAATTCCTGACCTCAGGTGATCTGCCCGCCTCGGCCTCCCAAAGTTCTGGGATTACAGGTGAGCCACTGCGCCCCGTCACCTGGCCTATTTTATAATAAGGCATTAAATATCTTGTGATTCTGTACAGTTGAATACAGTACTGAAAGTGAAAACCGGAATGATCGTATAAGGACTTGGAGGAAGTAGATTTCTTTTGAATTGCTTTCACAGAAAGTCTATGAAATTTGTTAAATAGAAGCATCATTAAATTGACAACAATATATATGAAATTTAAATTTAGTGTTGAATGTATCAATATATCTTTTATTTAGTTTTAATTTAAAAAATTTAGACAAATGTAAGCTTTTATAAGCCCATCTAGCTCAATTTTATTGCTTTTTACTTATTTGTAATCTTCAGATAATTTGTTTTTCCCTTGTTGTTTATGGCTGTCAGACAAAAAACTGATCTGGTGACCATGATCTGGTGAAAAGCTCAGCCCAGAAGTAGTACAGGTCTGGACTGTTAAGACTTTTAATTTTTGGAGAGCATGTTTGCCATGTGTTTTTTTTCTTTTTTCTTTTTTTGCTGTTGTGGTATGCCCATCATTTTCTTTTTAAGTCTTGTACCTTGAAACTCACCTTTCTTGTTGGACACTTCCTTTTTGAGGTCGTGATGTCTCGGGAGACGGATGTGGAGGCTCAGCAGTCCCATGGCAGCAGTGCCTGTTCACAGCCCCAAGGCAGCGCTACCCAGTCCCAAGGCTTCTCCTCACAGTCCCAGGGCACATCCAGCTCCTCTACCAGCACCGTGCCAAACTCAAGCCAGTCCTCTCACTCCAGCTCTGGGACACTGAGCTCCTTAGAGACAGTGTCCACTCAGGAACTGTATTCTATTCCTGAGGACCAAGAACCTGAGGACCAAGAACCTGAGGAGCCTGCCCCTGCCCCCTGGGCTCGATTATGGGCCCTTCAGGATGGATTTGCCAATCTTGGTAAGACCCTTTGTTATATAGTATGAAGTTTTGTTCAGAAAAGCAGTTACAGAAGGTTGTTGTGTTACTGGGTGGGTGTTTGGCATGTTGAAGAAATAGTTGAACATGCATGAACAAGCAATGAAAGCATAAATTTATTGACGTGGAAGGCAATTGAAACTAAAGTACCCATCACAGAATGGGAGCAGGCCTGAGCAAGTGGCTGCGGATTCCTAGTAGCAAAGTCTTCTGGGCTTCAAATACCCTCTAGAGGTCTCCCATTGGTTACGTCCTATGTAAATGAAGGGCTGGCTCACAGCCCATTAGAGGCCAATCCAAGGCTGGTGTGGATTGGTGCCTTATGCAAATGAAGATCCTAGAATGGACCAATCATAGGCTAGAATGCAAGTTCTTCCTTTTTATTTAGTTCCAGGAAATTTTTTTTTTTTTATGATGGAACCTTGCTCTGTCACCCAGACTGCAGCAGCTTGACTCACTGCAACTTCTGACTCCTGGGTTCAAGTGATCTGTCTCTGCCTCCTGAGTAACTGAGATTGTAGACGCGGACCACCACACCTAGCTAATTTTTATATGTTTAGTAGAGATGGGATTTCACCACGTTGGCCAGGCTGGTCTCACTCCTGACCTCAAGTGATCAGCCCACCTCAGCCTCCCAAAGTGCTGGGATTACAGGCATGAGCTACTGAGCTCGGCTGTTCAGGAAGTTTGCGTAAATTGGCAAATTCACACAAACCCTATTTTCCTGCCTTAGTTAGTTGCAGCAGAATGCTTGATCCACTCTTGGAATGATTCTGGAGTTTGAAGGTGATAAAAGGTAAAACCGAAGAGGCAGTGTTGGATGTTGCACTGGCTGTTACCTGCTGTGGATTCCCTTTATTTATTCTTTCAACAAATATTAATTGGACATTTACAACGTGCTTTCCATCCAAGGATCTGAAGGTAGCTTTGGACCCTTTCCCTAGAAAAATGCAGATTCATGCAAACTTGCAAATATTACCTAATCACAAAAGCTTCACCAGTTAACCTATGTGGTGGTTTGCATGGCTTCAGAGAATCAGGGCTATTAAGAATAGAGATGGCTATTTGTTGACACTTGTTATTTGTTCTTATCTCAAAATGGCCAACCTTGTGATTTAAATATGTTGACCCTTTCTGACATCTCCTGGTTTCAATGGTAAGTCTTCCCTATGCGTTTTTTTTTTTTTTTTTTTGAGACGGAGTTTCGCTGTTGTTACCCAGACTGGAGTGCAATGACACAAACTCAGCTCACCACAACCTCCGCCTGCTGGGTTCAAGCAATTCTTTTGCCTCAGCCTCCCGAGTAGCTGGGACTACAGGCGAGCACCACCATGCCCAGCTAATTTTTGTATTTTTAGTAGAGACGGGGTTTCACCTTGTTGACCAGGATGGTCTCCATCTCTTGACCTCGTGATCCACCCACCTTGGCCTCCCAAAGTGCTGGGATTATAGGCGTGAGTCACTGCACCTGGCCCCAAAGGACAAATTTCTTAATGGTGTTGTCCTTGGGCACGCATCGGGCACAGTTTGTGCAGCGAATAGGCTGCTTGTGGCCACAGTCCTTTTTGGCAGTACCGTTGTTTCTTCTTTTCTTTGTCATCTTGGAGGCACAGACTGGAGAGGGGATGGCCTAATTATTTTATCTTGATTTTTTGTAAAGACAGAGTCTTGCCATGTTACCCATATGATCTCGAACTCCTGTTGTCAACTGATCCTCCTGCTTCAGCCTCCCAAAGTGCTGGGATAAGAGGTGTGAGCCACCACACCCAGCCAGCTTTCAGTCTTTTATCACTAAGTATGATGTTAGCTGTGGGTCTTTTCTTTTCTTTTTTTTTTCTGTAGTAGAGATCTGAAGATCACCAAGCTGTGGATGTTTCATGAAAGTTCTTTCTGGCTGGATGCTCTGACACGTAAACTCTGTAATCTCAGTGCTTTCGGAACCTATGGCAAGAAAATTGCTTGAAGCCAGGAGTTGGAGACTACAGTGAGCTTTGATTGTAGGCCACAGAGCAAGACTGTTGCTAAATGAAAAATAAAAAAATTAAAAAAATATCTTTCTTAGGTTGAAGGGATTTCCTCCTATTCCTAGTTCTCTGAGTATTTTTTTATTATAAAAAGGTGCTGAGTTTTGCCAAAAATTGTTTCTCTATTATCCTCCATTCTGTTGTTACTGTGTATTATATTAGTTGGTTTTCAGATGTTAAACCAGCCAAGCTTTTGTGGGTTAATTCTTTTTTTATTTTTTATTTTTTTGAGATGGAGTTTCGCTCCAATTACCCAGGCTGGAGTGCAATGGCGCGATCTCAGCTCACCGCATCCTCCGCCTCCTGGGTTCAAGCAATTCTTCTATGTCAGCCACCCGAGTAGCTGGGACTACAGGCTGCGCCACCATGCCCAGCTAAGTTTTGTATTTTTAGTAGAGACGGGGTTTCACCATGTTGACCAGGATAGTCTCGATCTCTTGACCTCGTGATCCACCTGCCTCGGCCTCCCAAAGTGCTGCGATTACAGGCTTGAGCCACCGCGCCTGGCTTCCTGGGTTAAATCTTACTTGATCATGTGTAATCTTTTTTATATGTTGCTGGATTTAGTTTGCTACTGTTTTGTTGAGGATTTTTGTATCTATATTCATAAGGGATATTGGTTTGTGGTTTTATTGTGATGTCTCTGTCTGGTATTGGTATCAGAGTATTATTGGCTTCATAGATGAGTTGACAGTGTTCCCTCTTGTAGTTCTTGGAAAAGTCTGAGAATAATTGGTATTAATCTTTACATATTTGATAGAATTTAAAATGAAGCCAGCCATCTGTTTCTTTTTTCTTTTTCTTTTTTTTTTTTTTGAGACAGAGTCTCACTCTGTTTCCTAGGCTGGAGTGCAGTGGCACGATCACATTTCACTGCAGCCTTGACTTCACAGGCCCAACTCCTACCTTAGCCTCCTGAGTAGCTGGTACAGGCATATGCCACTACACATGGCTAATTTTTTTATTTTGATAGAGATGGGGTCTCCCTATGTTGCTCAAGCTAATGTGAGGCTATCTGGGACTGCACTTTTCTTTGTAGTGGATATTTTGATTATCTATTCAGTCTTTTTTTTTTTTTTGAGACGGAGTTTCGCTCTTGTTACCCAGGCTGCAGTGCAATGGCAGGATCTCGGCTCACCGCAACCTCCGCCTCCTGGGTTCAAGCAGTTCTCCTGCCTCAGCCTCCCGAGTAGCTGGGACTATAGGCGTGCACCACCATGCCCAGCTAAGTTTTGTATTTTTAGTAGAGACGGGGTTTCACCTTGTTGACCAGGATGATCTCGATCTCTTGACCTCGTGATCCACCCGCCTCGGCCTCCCAAAGTGCTGGGATTACAGGCGTGAGCCACCGCGCCCGGCCCTTTTTCTTTGATTTTAGAGACAGGGTCTCACTCTGTTGCCCTGAAGTTAGTGGTGCAATCACGGCTCACTGTAGCCTGGACTTCTTGGCTCAAGTGATCCTCCTTCCTCGGCCTCCCAAAGTACTGGGATTACAGGCATGAGCCGTCACACATAGCCCATATGTAGTTTTGATAGATCTTGCTAAATTGTCCTCCCAAAACAATTATATACAATGTGTGTATAAATTATGTTCTCACTGGCAATGCATGAGAGTACCTGCTTTTTCGTACCTCTTGCCAGCACAGGGTGATATGAAATTTTTGGATTTTTGCTAATCTAGTAGGTAAAACATGAAGTGTTAATGTGTTTTTGATTTCTACATTTCCTTCCTTCCTTCCTTCCTTCCTTCCTTCCTTCCTTCCTTCCTTCCTCCCTCCCTCCCTCCCTCCCTCCCTCCCTCTTTTTTGAGACAGAGTTTCACTTTGTCACCAGGCGCCAGGCTGGAGTACAGTGGCACAATCTCAGCTCACTGCAACCTCCGCCTCCCGGGTTCAAGCAGTTCTCCTGCCTCAGCCTGCCGAGTAGCTGGGATTACAGGCACACGCCACCATGCCCAGCTAATTTTTGTATTTTTAGTAGAGGCGGGGTTTCACCATGTTGGCCAGGATGGTCTCGATCTCTTGACCTCGTGATCCACCCGCCTCAGCCTCCCAAAGTGCTGGGATTACAGGCTTGAGCCATTGTGCCTGGCCGATTTCTAAATTTTTTTATATTGAGTTAGCTTGGTCACCTTTCATATGTCTGAGCCAGTTGCATTTGTTTCTTGTAAATTATCTTTTCATGTCCTTTACCCATTGTTCTACTGGACTGTGTATCTTTTTTGTCGATTTATTAACATTTATTAGGAAAATCAGTACTTTTTCTGATAGGAGTTACTAATATTTTCTCTACTCTGTCTTGCAATGAACATTTAATTGCCTGCCATGTGCAGTGTTCCAAGTGCTGGAGTTGTGCTGTTAAACAAGAGGTCTCCAGCTGCCCTCCTGGAGGTTATGTTCTAATTCAGGGAGGTGGGAAGGAAATATACAAATAAGCAAGGTAATTTCCAGTTGTGGCCCATACTCAAAAAGAAATATTAACAGGATAACATTATGATAGCAGGCGAGTAATGTTTATATAGAAAACTGAGTAGGAGATGATAGTAGAGTCCAAAAGGCAGATCATATTGTGTAGATAGTATCTGTATAAAAGGCAGATCATATTGTGTAGATAGTATCTATATAAAAGGCAAGGTGAGGGCCCGGCGTGGTGGCTCACGCCTGTAATCCCAGCACTTCGGGAGGCCGAGGCGGGTGGATCACAAGGTCAAGCGATCGAGACCATCCTGGTTGACATGGTGAAACCCCATCTCTATTAAAAATACAAAAAATTAACTGGGCATGGTGGCGCGCGCCTGTAATCCCAGCTACTCAGGAGTCTGAGGCAGGAGAATTGCCTGAACCTGGGAGGCGGAGGTTGCGGTGAGCCGAGATCACGCCATTGCACTCCAGCCTGGGTAACAAGAGCGAAACTCCGTCTCAAAAATAAAAAAGGCAAGGTGAAATGAGCCATTCAGGTAGTTGGGGAAGAAGTGCTAAGACCACCAAGTAGGTTGAACCCAGCACTCTCGGGGGTAGTGAAAGGAGGCCGGTGGTGCTGGTCGTCATGAGCAAGGGGAGAGGGGTATGAGGTGGGGCTGGCATGGTGGCAGGGCCAGACCCTGAGCATCTCATAGGCCATGATGAAGTGTGCAGATTTTATGCTAAGTGTTGTGGAAAGCCTCAGGAAGGTAATAAGCAGGAAGTTACTGTATTGTCCAAGTCATTAAAAATTACTCAAGAATTTTTAATGACTATTTGTTATTTCAGTTATATATATATGTATGTGCATATATGTATGTGCATATATGTATGTGTGCATATATATACACATGTAACATTAGATTAGTTTACAATATATACAACATATAATTATATTTTGCATATATTTGCATGTATATTACATATATAATGTATATTTTATATAAAAATATGTTGTAAATATATAATACATTATATATAAATATGTAATTATGTTTAAGGTAACTTATATAATAAATATATATGCATAATGCCAATTACATATATAATAACATAAAATAAATAAATATTTAATATATCTATTGGTTTGTTTTTTTGAGAAAAGTCTTGCTGTGTTGCCCAGGCTAGAGTGCAGTGGCAGGATCACAGCCCACTGTAGCATCAACTCCTCAAGCTCAAGTGGTCCTTCTGCTTCAGCCTCTTGAGTAGCTGCACCACCGCATCTGGTTAATTTTTTGAAACAGGGTCAGGCCAGATGTGGTGGCTCACACCTGTAATCCCAGCACTTTCGGAGGTCGATGTGTGCGGATCACAAGGTCAGGAGATCAAGACCATCCTGGCCTACATGGTGAAACCCCATCTCTACTAAAATACAAAAAGTTAGCCAGGTATGGTGATGCATGCCTGTAGTCCCAGCTACTTGAGGGGGCTGAGGCAGGGGAATTGCTTGAACCCAGGAGGCAGAAGTTGCAGTAAGCCGAGATTTCGCCGGTGCACTCTAGCCTGGTGACAGAGCAAGACTCTGTCTCAAAAAAAAAAAAAAAAGGAAATAGGGTTTCATTCTGTCACCCCCAGGCTAGTGTGCAGTGGCGCTATCTCAGCTCACTGCAGCCTCAACCTCCCAGGCTTAAGTGATTCTCCCATCTCAGCCTCCTGAGTATCTGAGACCACAGGGACCCTGCTAATTTTTTATTTTTTGTAGAGATGGGGTTTCACCATGTTGCCCAGGCTAATTTTTAAATTTATGGTAGAGATGGGTGACCCCTATGTGCCCACGCTGGTCATGAACTCCTGGGGTCAAGTGATCCTCCTGCTTCAGCCTCTCAAAGTGCCGAGATCACAGGTGTGAGCCACTGCCCCCGGCCATGTGATTATAGATAAACTGCCATTGGTTAAACTTACTGGTAAATGTTGTCTTTTGTCTCCTAATTTTTAATGTTATAAAATCTTGATAAGCAGATTCATCATTCTGATTGCCTTCTTAGGCTATTTTCCTACAAGTAGCATTTATGAGCAATTTTTAAACATATTTGTTACATGAAATTCAAGAGCCCTCTGATGCATGCTTTTGTATTACAGAGTGTGTGAATGACAACTACTGGTTTGGGAGGGACAAAAGCTGTGAATATTGTTTTGACGAACCACTGCTGAAAAGAACAGATAAATACCGGACATATAGCAAGAAACACTTTCGGATCTTCAGGGTAGGTGACAAATACCCATGTATTTAGGAAAGCTGGTAATCTATTCATTGCTTTTAGGTATTTTCCCACTATAAATCTTTGCTTTTAAAAGTTTGAAATAAAATGTTCTGTATTTTAGGAATTGGGTCCTAAAAACTCTTACATTGCATACATCGAAGATCATAGTGGCAATGGAACCTTTGTAAATACAGAGCTTGTAGGGAAAGGAAAACGCCGTCCTTTGAATAACAATTCTGAAATTGCACTTTCACTGAGCAGAAATAAAGGTAATATCATCTTATGGTTACTGAATTTTTTTTCACTCCCATACAGGAGGAAAATTTGTCGTATCCTTACAGAGTGTGGTTTAAGTAACGATGAGTAAGTTAGCATTCAAGATTCAACTTCTCTGTCATAGTTGCATTATTAAATTATGAAAAAGTTCCATCCAGACAGATTTGTTTTGTTTTGTTTTGGAGATGGAGTTTTGCCCTATTGTTCAGGCTGGAGTGCAATGGCACAATCTCAGCTCACTGCAACCTTCACCTCCTGGGTTCAAGTGATTCTCCTGCCTTGGCCTCCTGAATAGCTGGGATTACAGGTGCCCGCCACCACACTCAGCTATTTTTTGTGTTTTTAGTAGAGACAGGGTTTCACCATGTTGGCTAGGCTGGTCTTGAACTCCTGACCTTGAGGTAGAGGTTGTAGTGAGCCGAGATCATGCCACTGCACTCCAGCCTGGACAACAGAGTGATACTCTCTCCAAAAACAACAACAACAAAATTTTTTTAGACTTTTTTTTAGATACAGCCCAAATAATGGAGAAAAAAGGTATTTTGTTTAGAAAAATGCTATTTACCTAACTTTACAAATATGTTGAATGTACTTTGTGCTACAAAAAACTTAATACCAGGTATGTAAAGGTATAAATGGCTGAGAGATGATAATGCCAGCGTGGTGATACTGATGGCCTGATTTTCATTGGGACATTTACTTGCCTAGACCATTTTTCTAGGCTTAGACTGATTGCTTTCTGATTCTGGGCCTGTGGAAATCTGCATGGGCATTTTATGCTGGTGTAATTGATTAATCTTCTGAGGTCAAGGAATATAAATAATGTTGTGTTACAGATTTCCTGTACTACCATTGGAGTGATGCTTATAGTTCCATTGAAGCATGAAATTTGACTTTAATTTATTTCTCTCAAGGGTTTTACAATATATATTAGCTTACTGAACTGATTTCCTTAAGTTTACATGATAAATGTAGTAAAGAATTGTCTTATATTCCATATGACTATTAAATTTTAGAATCATGATCTTCTCTTGTGACTAAATTAATGACACCCATTTTTACTCTTTTTTTCCTTAGTTTTTGTCTTTTTTGATCTGACTGTAGATGATCAGTCGGTTTATCCTAAGGCATTAAGAGATGAATACATCATGTCAAAAACTCTTGGAAGGTAAATTATTTTCTTATGTAACTATACTTCATTTTTTCCTTATACATTTGTGATTGGTAGTTTCTCATTTCTGATTCTTTCCTTCCTTCTTTCCTTCTGTCCTTCCTTACTTCTTTCTCACTCCCGCTCTCCTTCCTTCCTTCCTTCCTTCCTTCCTTCCTTCCTTCCTTCCTTCCTTCCTTCCTTTTTCTTCCCTTTCTCTCTCTCTTTCTCTTTCTCTCCTCCTTCCTTCCTTCTCTTCTCTTCTTTTCCTTTCTTTTCTTTCACTGAGTTTTGCTCTTGTTGCCCAGGTGGGAGTGCAGTGGCGTGATCTTGTCTCACTGCAACCTCTGCCTCTTGGGTTCGAGTGATTCTCCTGCCTCATCCTCCCGAGTAGCTGGCATTACAGGCACACGCCACTATGCCCAGCTAATTTTGTGTTTTTAGTAAAGGTGGGGTTTCTCCATGTTGGTCAGGCTGGTCTTGAACTCCCGACCTCAGGTGATTCGCCCGCCTTGGCCTCCCAAAGTACTGGGATTACAGGCATGAGCCACCGCACCCTGCCATTCATTATTTATTAATTATTATTATTATTTTTTTAAACAGATTTTTGCTCTTGTTGTCCAGGCTGGAGTGCAATGGCGCGATCTTGGCTCACTGCAACCTCTGCTTCCCAGGTTTAAGCGATTCTCCTGCCTCAGCCTCCTGAGTAGCTGGGATTACAGGTGTGCACCACCACACCCGACTAATTTTGTATTTTTAGTAGAGACAAGGTTTCTCCATGTTGGTCAGTCTGGTCTTGAACTCCCGACTTCGGTTGATCCACCTGCCTTGGTTTCCCAAAGTGCTGTGATTTTTTATTTTTATTTTTGTGAGTTATTGCCTACAGTCATTTTAATGTATTTTTATCTTATTTCTTCATTTTTTATTTTTATTTTTTTAGAGACAGGGTTATACCATGTTGGCCAGGCTGGTCTTGAACTCCTGACCGCTGGTGATCCACCCGCCTCGGCCTCCCAAAGTGCTAGGATTACAGGCATGAGCCACAGTGCATGGCCTATTTATTTCTTTGTGAGACAGAGTATTGCTCTGTTACCCAGGCTGGAGTGTAGTGGCATGATCAGAGCTCACTGTGGCCTTGATTTCCCAGGTCAAGGGAAATCAGGCATTCAGCACCATGCACAGTTAATGTGTGTTTTTGTTTTTTAGAGATGAGGTCATGCTGTGTTGCCAGGGCTGGTCTTGAACTCCTGGGCTCAAGCTATCCTCCTGCCTCAGCCTCCTGAAGTGCGGGGATTAATGGTGTGAGCCACCACACCCAGCCAAGTATTTCTTTTTTTATTTCCTTTTTGTGTGTGTGTGTGTGTGTGTGTGTGTGTGTGTGTGTCTTCCTGTGTTGCCCAGACTGGAGTGCAGTGGCACAATCTTGTCTCACTGCAATCTCCATCTCCTGGGCTCCAGTGATCCTTCCACCTCAGCCTCCCAAGTAGCTGGGACTATAGGCTTGTACCACCACACCTGGCTAATTTTTGTATTTTGTGTAGCGATGGGGTCTCACCATGTTGACCAGGCTGGTCTTGAACCCCTGACATTAAGCAATCCACCTGCCTCAGCCTCCCAATGTGCTAGGATTACAGGTGTGAGCCACTGTGCTTTGCTGGGTGTATAGTATTTCATTATGTATATATACACCACATTTACTTTGTTCATTTGTTGATGGATGCTTAGGTTGCTTCCCTATCTTGGCTGTTGTGAATAATGCTGAAATGAACATGGGAGTGCAGATATCTCTTCAGCATACTGATTTAAAATTTTTTTGGATATATATCTAGAAGTGGGATTGCTGAATCATATGGTAATTATAATTTTAGTTTTTTGAAGAACCTTCATACTATTTTCCAAAATGGCTGTACCAATTTATATTCCCACCAACAATTTACCAGGGTTCTCTTTCCTTCACATCCTCTTCAACACTTGTTATTCATCTTTTCGATAATGGCCATTCTAATAGGCTTGAGGTGATACGTCATTATGGTTTTAATTTGCATTTCTCTGTTCATACATCATGATAGGTATATCATTGATGTATTTGATAATGATTAAATTAACTCTTTCGCCTCATGAATTTTATTGGTGATAACTTTTTAAGGGTGACGTCACTGAGATACAATTTATATACCATATAATGTACCCATTTAGAGTGCAATTTAGTGATTTTTAGTGTATTCACAGAGTTGTGAAGCCATCACCACAATCAATTTTGGAATTTGTTTTTTAATCACCTCCCAAAAAATATGGTTACTGTATTTCTGTGCTGTTTAGAATTTTTGTCATCTTGGGATGTGAAGTGAAACCTACAATTGAACGTAACTTGGGTTAAAGTTCTCAAAAATTTTGGACTCAGGACACCTCACATTCTTAAAAATTATTGAGGACTCCAAAGAGCTTCTGTTTATGTGGCTTACATCTATTGATATTTACTGTATTAGACATTAAAATTGATTATATATATATATATATATATATATATATATATATATATATTTTAAAGATGGCATTTCACCATGTTGGTCAGGCTGGTCTTGAACTCCTGACCTCAGGTGATCTGCCTGCCTTGGCCTCCAAATTGCTTGGATTACAGGTGTGAGTCACTATGCCCGGCCTGCTTTTTTGTTTTAAGTGAAGGTCTTGCTCTTGCTCTGTAGTAGTTTGACCACAGCTCAGGGCAGCTTTTTTTTCTTGTTGTTGGCAGCCTTGATCTCTCAGGTTCAAGCAATCTTCCCACCTCAGCCTCCCGAGTAGATGGGACTACAGGCATGTGGCACCACACCCAGCTCGTTTTTATTTTATTTTATTTTATTTTTGAGACAGACTTTTGTTCTTGTTGCCCAGGATGGAATGCAGTGGCGTGGTCTCAGCCCACTGCAACCTCCGCTTCCTGGGTTCAAGTGATTCTCCTGCATCAGCCTCCAAAGTAGCTGAGATTACAAGTGCCTGCCACCACACCTGGCTACTTTTTTTTTGTATTTCTAGTAAAGACGGGGGTTTCACCATGTTAGTCAGGCTGGTCTGGAACTCCTGACCTCAGGTGATCTACCTGCCTTGGCCTCCCAGAGTGCTGGGATTACAGGCCTTATTTTTTTTTTTCAATTGCAGAGATGACGTCCTGCTATGTTGCCTAGGCTTGTCTCTACCTCCTGGGCTCAAGTCATCCTCTTGCCTTAGCCTCTCAAAGTGTTGTGATTTTAGGTGTGAACCACTGCACTTGCCCAAGCCATTTTTATATTAATTCATTAAGTAAACTTGCTACATGTTAAGATGAGTAACATTTTTAATGAAAAATTATTACTAAAAAGGTTAGTGAGAAGAGAAGCATTGTTTGACATTTTTGCAAATTTTTTTGACATGTGGCTAGTTAGAACATGGCTAGATTCTGATATTTGCTTCTTCATTCAGTCTACTGTGATGTCACATGCCGTGTAGCCTCTAAAAAACTCCATACTTAAGAGCTAATGTGAATGGAAAGCACAAATAATGTGTTAGTATTATTCTGAACATAGTTTGGCTTTATGGATGCCCTGCAAGGTCTTGGGGTCCTTGGGGTTATCCAGTTATACTTTGAGAACCATTTCTTTAGGAAAAGTATCAGGGTATTGTTACTACTTTACAAAATGCTCTTCATCCCCCTTCCCTTCTCACAAATATTTTTCTACTGATATTTTTGGAAACATGAAAGTATAAAGTACATAAATAGTGTGGCTGGGTAAGGTGGCTCACACCTGTAATCCCAGCATTTAGGGAGGCCTAGTCGGGTCAATCACCTGAGTGATCGACTAACATGGTGAAACCTCATCTCTACTAAAAATACAAAAAATTAGATGGGCATGGTGGCGGGCACTTGTAATCCCAGCTACTTGGGAGGCTAAGGCAGGAGAATCGCTTGAACCTGTGGGGCGGAGGTTGCAGTGACCCAAGATCACACCACTGCACTCCAGCCTGGGCGACAGTATGAGACTCTCTCAAAAAAAAAAAAGGTACATGAAAGGAAATAATTATCCATATTCCTGCAATGTAGAGTTAATCCTGGTATCCCTCTGTATCATATGGGAGAAATTTTAGTTTATTGATACTGAATTCCGTAACTGATTGTGTTTTCATATTTGCACTGGTTGCTTGGAATCTCACTGTCAACTGTCAAACCCTTTCTTTTTCTTTTTTTTTTTTTGAGATGGAGTCTCGTTCTGTTGCCAGGCTGGAGTGTAGTGGCGCTATCTTGGCTCACTGCAACCTCCACTGCCTGGGTTGAAGCAATTCTCTTGCTTCAGCCTCCCGAGTAGCTGGGACTACAGGCATGTGCCACCACTCCCAGCTAATTTTTGTATTTTTTAGTAGAGACGGGGTTTCACCATGTTGGCCAGAATCGTCTTGATCTCTTGACCTTGTGATTCACCCACTTTGGCCTCCCAAAGTGCTGGGATTACAGGCATGAGCCACTGCACCTGGCTGTCAAACCCTTTCTTAAGAAATGTATGGGCTGGGTGTAGTGGCTCACGCCTGTAATCCTAGCACTTTGGGAGGCTGAGGCGGGCAGATTACCTGAGGTCGGGGGTTTGAGACCAGCTTGGCCAACATGGTGAAACCCCATCTCTACTAAAAATACAAAAATTAGCCAGTATGGTGGTGCATGTCTGTAATCTCAGCTACTCGGGAGGCTGAGGCAGGAGAATAGCTTGAACCTGGGAGGTGGAGGTTGCAGTGAGCCGAGGTCATGCCACTCCATTCCACCCTGGGCAAAAGTTTGACTCTGTCTCAAAAAATAAAAGTATGAGGCTGGGTATGATGGCTCGTGCCTGTAACCCCAGCACTTTGGGAAGCTGAGGTAGGTGTATTGTTTGAGTCCAGGAGTTTGAGACCAGTCTGGGCAACATGGTGAAATCTTGTTTCTAGAAAAAAATAGAAAAAGTTAGCTGAGCTTGGCGGGTTGTACCTGTAGTCCCAGCTACTTGGAAGATGGAGGTGGAAGGATTACCTGAGGCCAGGAGGTGGGTGATAGAGTGAGAGCATGTCTCAGGAGGAAAAAAAAAAAAAGAAGAAATGTATGGAATTCAATGTTTTTCTGAGGGAGAATTTAATAAAAATTCTCTAACTTGTGGCAGATGACAGAAACTCATATGAGTCAGGTAAGAGAAAAAATTTACTGGCTTTTGTAACTGGGATATAGAGAGGCAGACAGGGAATGGTGGCTCACTGGTAATCCTTGTACTGTGGGTGGCTAAGATGAGTGGATTACTTGAGGTCAGGAGTTTGAGACCAGCTTGGCTGACATAGTGAAGCCCCTTCTCTACTAAAAATATACAGATTAACTGGGTTTGATGGCACATACCTGTAGTCCCGGCTACTTGGGAGGCTGAGGCAGGAGAATGGCTTGATCGCCGGCGGCGCAGGTTGCAGTGGGTAGAAATGGCGCCATTACACTCCAGCCTGGGTGACAAAGTGAGACTCCATCTCAAAACAAAAAACAGACAAACCTTACTTCAGGCATGGCAGGTTCTAGGCGGTATTAAGCTTTACTCTCTGGTCTTTGAGTTTTGATGGTCTGTTTGACTTTATCATTGACTGCATCGAAGAGCTCCCACAGTGTCACCAGGGCTCTAGCTCCATCTATTGAATCAGATGTTTATTGCCTTACTGTAGAGTTGTTCTCTCTATGTGGCAGGAAAAATGGCTACCAAGGGCTGCAGACTGATAGTTTCTTTGTCTAGAAACTATAGCACAGGCTGGGTGCAGTGGCTCATGCCTGTAATCTCAGCATTTTGAGAGGCCAAGGCAGGCAGATCACGGGGTCAGGAGATCGAGACCATTCTGGCTAACACAGTGAAATCTTATCTCTACTAAAAATGCCAAAAATGAGCTGGGCATGGTGGCACGTGCCGGTAGTCCCAGCTACTCAGGAGGTTGAGGCAGGAGAATCACTTGAACCTGGGAGGTGGAGGTTGCAGTGAGCCGAGATGGAGCCGCTGCACTCCAGCCTGGGCAACAGAGTGAGACCTTGCCCATTTTTAAATTGCAGGTTGTTTGTTTTTTTATTGTAGAGTTCTAAGATTTCTTTATCTATTCTGGATATAAGCTTTTATCAGATATATGGCTTGCAGCTGGGCGGCTTGGCATGGTGGCTCACACCTGTGATCCCCGCACTTTAGGAGGCCAAGGAGGGTGGATCACCTGTGGTCAGGAGTTCGAGAGCAGCCTAGCCAACATGGAGAAACCCCATCTGTACTAAAAATAGAAAATTAGCCGGGCACGGTGGTGCACGCCTGTAATCCCAGCTACTTGGGAGGGTGAGGTAGGAGAACTGCTTGAACCCGGGAGGTGGAGGTTGCGGTGAGCCGAGATTGTGCCATTGCACTCCAGCCTGGGCAACAAGAGCAAAACTCCATCTCAAAAAAAGAGAAATAAAAACAACAAACAACAACAAAAAAGGTAAACCAAATTATCATGTGACCCAGAAATTCTCCTCCTATGTGTATAAATTTCCCAATTTTAAAAACAAGTATTCAAGCCAGGCATGGGCACACATCTATAATCCGAGCACTTTGGGAGGCTGAGGTGGGTAGATCACTTAAAGTCAGGAGTTTTAGACCAGCCTGGCCAACATGGTGAAATTCTGTCTCTTAAAAATTTTAGGCTGGGCATGGTGGCTCACGCCTGTAATCCAAGCACTTTGGAGGCCAAGGTGTGCGGATCACCTGAGGTTGGGAGTTCAAGACCAGCCTGACCAACATGGTAAAACCCTGTCTTTATTAAAAAAGACATTTTTTTTTTTAAATTAGTCTCTTAAAAAAATTAGCTGCACGGGGTGGCACACACCTGTAATCCCAGCTACTTGGGAGGCTGAGGCATGAGAATTGCTTTAAGCAGTGAGCCGAGATCGTGCCACTGCACTCCAGCCTGGGTGACAGATCCAGCCTATGTCTCAAAAAAATATGAAGAGAACAAGAAACCAAGTACTCAGATAAGAACTTCTGCGTGAATGTTCATAGCATCTCTAGTCACAATGAAGAAGTCTGATTCCTCTCTTTTTCTTTCGTTGCTTAAGCTTTTGTTGTCGTATGAAGAAGCCATTTACAAAAGGTAGAAACAACCCAAATAAATGTCCACCAGAAGACGAATAGATAAGCAAAATATGGTATTTCCGTGTAACGGAATATTATTCAGCTGTAAAAAGGAATGAAGTACCACAGATGTTATGGCATTACCCTGAATGAAAGAATCCAGACACAAAAAGCTACATATTGTATGATTTCATCTATATGAAATATTCAAAATAGGCAAATCAACAGAGAGAGAAAGCAGATTAGTGGTTTCCAGTGGCTGGGGGCTGAGGGCTGGGGACAGGGTAAAGTGAAGAGTGATGGCTTGATTGCTTAAAAGGTACAATTTTTCCATTTGAGCTAAAGAGAAAGTTCTGGAATTAGATGCTGGTGGTTGTAAACATGGGTAGTGTACTTAATGCCACTGAATTGTACACTTTAAAATGATTACAGTGGTAAATTTTGTGTTAGTATATTTAACACAATAAAAAAGATGTCTTGGTAAACCTGTCAACTCACCCCTTCAAAACCCACAATAGAAGAATAGTCCACTTCATAATGGGTAATTGATGCTCTAGTAGCCATTATCTTGGGCTGACCCAAGCTTCGGAGGACAGATCCTACTGAGGATTAAGTGTGTCCTGGGTGATAGCTTGGATAGCATTCCTCCTCTGTGAGTAGTATCCCAATTAACTGCAAATTCTCTGAGAGGTTGCTGATAGTAGGCTAATTGTGTAACACTTGGTTTCTTAGGTAATTTGATTTGAAGTGCAATTCATGCTGTCAACTGCTTATGCACTTCCTTTGAACACAGAAAATAAAAAGGGAAGAAATGTATCCGTTGAAGTTATTCTTTTGCAGAGTCTGTTTACTGTTACTTGTTTAGGGCACTCATTTTTGACTAGGGAGGACTGTTTCTAGTTAATGTTTTTCTGACCTCTCAGATAATTTCTCTCATTTTTCTCTTAGTATCTTTCTGGGAATTGCACAATCCAGGGCTGCAGTAAGACTCATGTTTGTATCACTCAGCTCAAAAGTGGAATTTGGAGCTGACTTAGTGTTGTTGGCTGTTAAACCCTTGACATTTTACACTGATGAAGTTCCACTGTGTCCTCTGCAAACAGGGACAATGAAAGGGTTTTTTTTTTTTTTTTTTTGAGACGGAGTTTTGCTCTTGTTACCCAGGCTGGAGTGCAATGGCGCGATCACGGCTCACCGCAACCTCCGCCTCCTGGGTTCAGGCAATTCTCCTGCCTCAGCCTCCTGAGTAGCTGGGATTACAGGCACGCACCACCATGCCCAGCTAATTTTTGTATTTTTAGTAGAGACGGGGTTTCACCATGTTGACTGGGATGGTCTCGATCTCTTGACCTCGTGATCCACCCGCCTCGGCCTCCCAAAGTGCTGGGATTACAGGCTTGAGCCACCGTGCCTGGCCGGGGTTTGTTTTTTTTTTCTGGAGACAGAGTTTCGCTCTTGTTACCCAGGCTGGAGTGCAATGATGCGATCTTGGCTCACTGCAACCTCCGCCTCCTGGGTTTAGGCAATTCTCCTGCCTCAGCCTCCTGAGTAGCTGAGACTACAGGTGCGTGCCACCATGCCCAGCTAATTTTTTCTATTTTTAGTAGAGATGGGGTTTCACCATGTTGACCAGGATGGTCTCGATTTCTTGACCTCGTAATCCACCCGCCTCAGCCTCCCAAAGTGCTGGGATTACAGGCTTGAGCCACTGCGCCCGTCCTGGAAGTGTTGTTATATGGAATGTCTGTAAATTGTAATACTTGAAGCAGCGGACTCAGGATTGGTAGGTCTCATAATTAAAAACATTCAGACAATCACTGTCTTTGTTTTTACCCCTAGTGGTGCCTGTGGAGAGGTAAAGCTGGCTTTCGAGAGGAAAACATGTAAGAAAGTAGCCATAAAGATCATCAGCAAAAGGAAGTTTGCCATTGGTTCAGAAAGAGAGGCAGTAAGTACCATTAAAAGGCTGCTCACCTTGTGTTGAGACTTCTTCATAACTTCCCAAAATAATCTTAGGTTGATGATCTTCAATCTCAGGAACAACTCCCTACTTAGATGGATGAATTTGTGAGTATCAAAGAACATGGAAAATTTGGAGGCATCTTTGATTAATCTAGAAACTTTTACTTATAGACAGTTTGGTTCCACAAGTATTTAATTGTACATAATAATGAGCATAGCGGGAAGTTTTTTTTTTTTCTCCTTCCAAGTTCAGAGTTGTTACAAGATTGTTTTTACAATAAATGACAGGAAATTAGAGAAAAAAATTCAGCCATAATCCCCACTGTAACCCCACAGCTGTTTTCAGTTTTCCTTTTCCTCCTAGTTTTTGTTCAGATGAAATCGTGTTTTTAGATGGTTGAAATCATCTTATATATACAGTTTTGTATTTTGCTTTTCCACAAATGCATTATGGCAAAAACTTTTCCCTAATACATCCTTTTTGATGACTGAGCTTTCATATCATTTACTTTATCGTAATTTATTTAACAATTTCTCTGCCTGATCATTCATTTAGGTAACTTTTTATTCTTTGCTGTTCTGGGTAATATGGCAGTGAGTATCCTTGGTTCATGGATCAGCCATAGATTTTTAAAAATTTAATTAAATCATTGACATAGTTTTCCTTTATAGCAGCTGTTTACTTTACTACATTTTTGTAATCCACATTTACTGTATGGGAGAGATGGCCAGATGCATTGGTCTTTCCACATGTGACCCAACAAAGTAATGTAAAACACAGCCCCTAATCACATTTTCCTTTGTGGCCAGCTGTTTCTGGCTATTATACTTTCACATTCTTTAAAGATCAATTTTTCCCCCGTAGACATTCTCACATGGCAAGAGGAATTTCCTTTTTGTGTTCACTTTGTTATAGATCTTTTCCCCTGCGATTCTAAGATTTGTTTCCCATTTTGAGGAGAAGAAAATACCAACTAGATTGTTAAAAACTGGGAGTAAAGTTTTACTTTTTGATTTCATTCTTTGAATCAGATTGGACTCTTTGTGACCATTTTATTATCAGAATATGCCCTGACTTGGTAATGAGTTTAGCGGCTTACAGGAAGAGGCAGGCTCTTAAAATTAAACATCTGCGTTTCTTAGCTGAAGTTCATTTTATATAAATATGTAATTCTATCTCCTCTTTGCCTGTGGAGGGTGTAGCCCAGGAAGTTGAGTTACTTGATTCATCCTTTTGGAATTGTAACAGAACAACTTTAGTACCCTGAAGCCTCCTCTTGTCAAGAGTTTCAGAAAATATGTGAGCCTGCTGTTGCAGTTGGAACCTGCATCTGCTCTATTAGTAGAAATTTGACTTAACATTTTCCTTATACAGTTTAATCGAACACCTTCTTGTCCATGTGTTTCGTTTATCATTTTAATGAATGTAAATAGTTCCATAGCTAATAAGTAGAGTTGACGAGTTAAACATGAACACAGTGGAAGCACACTTGTTTCTGACTGTGGAGACTTGGGCAAGTGCATTATGTCTTCTGAGACTTGTTTACCCCATCTGTAAGATGGGGATAATTGTAGAATCCCCTTCAGCTGGGGATTCTGAGGCTCATGAGACATGATCTCTGTAAATAAAGAGCTTGGCACAGGGCCTGGCATTTATTGAATGCTTACTATTTGCCAAGTATTTTGCAAAGTTATTTCAAGTGAGGTATTTAAGTCATTGACCTCTGGGCTTTGATTTCTTTGTAGGAATAGAGCTGGGCTTGGAACTCAGGCAGCCTTTATTTAGTAAACTAAGTTTAAGTGTAAATTTTTTTAAATATTGGCAATTGCCGGGCACGGTGGCTCACGCCTGTAATCAATCCCAGCACTTTGGGAGGCTGAGGCGGGTGGATCAGGAGGTCAAGAGATTGAGACCAACCTGGTCAACATGGTGAAACCCCGTCTCTACTAAAATTACAAAAAATTAGCTGGGCATGATGGTGCGTGCCTGTAATCCCAGCTACTCAGGAGGCTGAGGCAGGAAAATTGCCTGGACCCAGGAGGAGGAGGTTGTGGTGAGCCGAAATCATGCCATTGCACTCCAGCCTGGGTAACAAGGGCAAAACTCTGTCTCAAAATAAATAAATAAATAAATATTGGTGACTATTATTATTAATAAACTCTGTTTTTCTATTTATCAAAGGACCCAGCTCTCAATGTTGAAACAGAAATAGAAATTTTGAAAAAGCTAAATCATGTAAGTATTAATAAGATATGATCCATACTTATATTTATTTATCTCAAAATATGAGAGGAGTATAAAGCCTTTCAGTATAATAAAGCTAATACTGGCTGCGTTTGGTGGGTCACATCTGTAATCCTAGCACTTTGGGAGGCTGAGGTGGGTGGATCACCTCAGGTCAGGAGTTTGAGACCAGCCTGGCCAACATGGTAAAACCCCATCTCTACTAAAAATACAACAATTAGCTGGGCATGGTGGCACATGCCTGTAATCCCAGTTACTCAGGAGGCTGAGGCAGGAGAAACACTTGAACCCGGGAAGCATAGGTTGCAGTGAGCTGAGATCATGCCACTGCACTCTAGCCTGGGCGATCAAGCAAGACTCTGTCTCAAAAAATAAAATATTGGGCTGGGCGCGGTGGCTCACGCCTGTAATCCCAGCACTTTGGGAGGCCGAGGTGGGTGGATCACGAGGTCAAGAGATCGAGACCGTCTTGGTCAAAATAGTGAAACCCTGTCTCTACTGAAGTGCAGAAAATTAGCTGGGCATGGTGGTGTGTGCCTGTAGTCCCAGCTACTCAGGAGGCTGAGGCAGGAGAATAGCCTGAACCCAGGAGGTGGAGATTGCGGTGAGCCAAGATCGCGCCATTGCACTCCAGCCTGGGTAACAAAAGCGAAACTCCGTCTCAGAAAAATAAAAAAGTAATAAAATAAATTTAAGAAATATTAAACTGGGTTCTTTAACTTGTGTGTACATGCACACACGTGCCTCGCTGTCATTTAGATATGAAGAATTTTGCTCCAAAATGTTGAGTGAACAATACTATATAAAGATTTTATGATTAAATAATTACATGATGTTTCTTCTGAGTTAGTTCTTAACCAAAAGATGTAGTAATTATTCTATCTCATAGACATTTGATCAACTGATTTTGTTGGAGAAGACAGTGCTGATTTTAGTGAATTTGGCTTAGTTATACCTGAAGTTTTAATATCTTTGAATACCTTTTATTTGGAGTAATCTAAATAAATCCAAGAATATCCATTAAGTATGACAACATCCTGTTCTTATATCTGATTAAATGGTGTCTGTGGCCTTGTTGGATGTAAGTAGTTCTTTTTTTTTTGAGACAGAGTCTCTCACTGTCACCCAGGCTGTATTGCAGTGGCGTGTTCTCAGCTCACTGCAATCTCTGCCTCCTGGGTTCAAGTAATTCTCCTACCTCAGCCTCCTGAGTAGCTGGGACAACAGGCGTGCGCCGCCACCATGCCCAGCTATTTTTTTTTGTATTTTTAGTAGAGATGGGATTTCACTGTGTTAGTCACTCACGATAGTCTTGATCTCCGGACCTCAGGTGATTTGCCCGCCTTGGCCTCCCAAAGTGCTGGGATTACAGGTGTGATCCACCGCTCCCAGCCTTTTCTTCTTTTCTTTTTTGAGACGGAGTCTTGTTCTGTTGCCCAAGCCAGAGTGCAGTGGCATGATCTCCACTCACTGCCACTTCTGCCTCCCAGGTTCAAGTGATTCTCCTGCCTCAGCTTCCCGAGTAGCTGGGATTGTTTACAGGTGTGAGCTCTCGCCCGGCTGGGTGTAAGTATTTCTTACCTTTTTGTGCAGTGATGATTCTGTCCCAATGAAAAATGTGTCTCACTTTCAAAAAGTGAGAAGAAACGCTGGGCTTGGTGGGGCTTGGTGGCTCATGCCTGTAACTCAGCACTTTGGGAAACCGAGGTGGGCAGATCACGAGGTCAGGAGATCAAGACCATCCTGGCCAACATAATGAAACCCCATCTCTACTAAAAATACAAAAAAATTAGCTGGGTGTGGTTGTGCTTGCCTGTAGTCCCAGCTACTCAGGAGGCTGAGGCAGTAGAATTGCTTGAACCCAGGAGGCAGAGATTGCAGTGAGGCGAGATCGTGCCACTGCACTACAGCCTGGACGACAGTACGAGACTCCATATCAAAAAGGAAAAAGTGAGAAGAGAAATTAGAGAGTGGGCCTGATCTTATCTTGGTCTTTTTTTTTTTTTGGTTCTTTCATTTTCTTCATTAATTCATGCGTACCCATGAAAGCATAAGCTCATTAGGCACTGGCGTTAAACTCAAGGCAAGACCTCTCTCCTATCTAGCTAATGATGATCTTTTTCTGGCTTTTAATCTCCAAACAGCAAAAAGACTTCTTCTCTGTTCTACCTCTCAAAATCCTTCAAAAAAGTCAGTAGAAACTGAGGAGCAATTACTGTTGTTGATACTTCAACAGGTTCCTTTAGAACTCAGTGGGTGAACCTGAAAACCCAGGAGAATCAGAGTGGCTGACCTTCCTGCTTGGCTTTCTTCTGTTTCTTTTGCAAATTCTTCTTCCTCTCTGAATTTGCCAGGTCCTTTTCCAAGAGATTGGGAGTCTCTCTTTAACACACACACACACACACACTCACACACTCTCTCTCTCTCTCTCTCCCCCTCTCTCTCCTTCTTTCTCTCTCTCCCTCTCTCTCCCACTCACTCTCACTGTGTCTCTCTCTCTCTCTCTCTTTTTTTTTTTTTGAGATGGAGTTTCGCTCTTGTTACCCAGGCTGGAGTGCAATGGCGCGATCTTGGCTGACCGCAACCTCCGCCTCCTGGGTTCAGGCAATTCTCCTGCCTCAGCCTCCTGAGTAGCTGGGATTACAGGCATGCGCCACCATGCCCAGCTAATTTTTTGTATTTTAGTAGAGACGGAGTTTCACCATGTCTCTCTCTCTCTTTTAGAGACAGAGTCTCTCTGTCACTCAGCCTTCAGTGCAGTGGCACAGTCATAGTTCACTGCAGCCTCAAACGGCTAAGCCCAAGTGATCCTCATGCCTCAGCCTCCTGAGCAGCTGGGACTATAGGAATATACCACCATACCCTGCTGGGAGAGAGGAGCCCTCTAATTTTCTGGGGCAGAGTTGCATCAAACCTACCCTTAAGATAAACACAAATGCTCAGGGAATTTTCTCTGATGTCAGATGATCTTCAAACAACATTTACACAAATCTGGTGTCCACTGCAATAGAGATGAATTCAAAACCCAAAAAAGATTTCCAAACGTATTTATTTGCAGTTTACCAGGGCCCATGGAACTCTTGGGAAATAAACATGGGCCCATGAGTGCATTTTGATGCATGGGGACAATCAGTAGAGTCTAGTGGCCAAGAGAGCCTGGGCTTTGGAGTCAGAGATTGATGTGGTCAGTTTTTAAACACTTACAGTGCCAGGCTCTCTTGTGGACCCAGGGAAGTGGTAAGCACAGATAGAGGTATCCTTCCCTTCCCTCATGTGACTTTAGTCTAGTGTGGAGACAGACCTGTGTTCCCATCTCAGTACTACTAAAGAAGCTGAGAAGTCATTTATGAGAAGTTCATTTTACTTATTGGAGCCCCTGTTTCCTCATCTATACAACGAAGACAATGAGACTATTTATGTCACAAGGTCAGTGTGAGAATTTAGAGACTTGCTCGTAAAGGTTTCAGCACAGACAGCACACTTGGGGAGTGACAGGGACATCATTAATTCCCTGAACTGCTTTCCCAGTATGACCTAAGTGGAAGGTGTGGGTTAGTAGCTTCTGATTCCTGGTAGAGACACTTTTAGCTGTGACAGCCCTAGCCAGTGACCCTGGAGATAGTGGACACTAGAGGAGATAGTTCACACTGCTTCTGACTCTCAGGCACCTCTTCATGCTCTGTTAACTCCAGACCCCACCGATTTTCAGATAGGTACTGACACTGCCCATTATGAAGGCAACCAGAACCAAGCAGTTCCCATTTTTCCTTCTGCCTGTTCCTTTTCTATGTGTGCCTTTTCTTCTTATTCTCCTTTATTTATCTATGTGTGTATTTACTTTTTTTTGGGACAGAGATCTCCTTCTGTTGCCCAGGCTAGAGTGCAGTGGCATGATCTTGGCTCACTGCAGCCTCGGCCTCCGAGGTTCAAGTAATTCTGCCTATCTTGAATGCTATGTGTACTGTCCTTTGCTTTTTTAAAGCCACAAATACATGTATCCCTAAATAATACAGTTTTTACTGCTTGTTTCTGAGCCTTATAAAAATGGTACAGATTGAGTGCCCCTTATCCTAAAAGTCTGGGACCAGAGGTTTTTGGATTTTGGATCTTTTTGGATTTCGGAATATTTGCATTGTACTTCCTGGTTGAGCATTCCAAATCCAAAAATCTCAAATCCAAAATGCTCCAGTGGGCATTTCCTTTGAGTGTTGTGTCACCTCTCAAAAAGATATGGAGCCTGGCGTGGTGGCTCATGCCTGTAATCCCAGAACTTTGGGAGGCCGAGATGGGTGGATCATGAGGTCAGGAGTTCAAAGCCAGCCTGGCCAAGATGGTAAAACCCTGTCTCTGCTAAAAATGCAAAACTTAGCTGGGCACAGTGGCAGACACCTATAATCTCAGCTACTCGGGAGGCTGAGGCAGGAGAATCACTTGAACCTGGGGGTTGGGGGGGTGGGGGCAAAGGTTGCAGTGAGTCAAGATCATGCCACCACACTCCAGCCTGGGCAACACAGTGAGACTTCATCTCAAAAAAAATTTTGTATTTTTGTATTTGGGATGCTCAAACTGTATCATACTCTTTAAAGTCTTTTGTGACTTGCCTTTTTCATTCAACATTGTGCTTCTAAGACCCATCTATGGTGGAAAAACTGGGCGTTCATTCATTGCTATATAACAATTCATTGCGGGAAGGTTCCACTGGAGGATCTTAATAGAGTGATGAGTGATTAATATGATGAAATATACATTATAGGAAGATTATACTCTTGAATCTAAAACAAAAAAATCTGATGGTTCTTTTCTCTTTAATTCTGATACAGCTACAGTCCTCTGCTGGGGTGTATGTCCCTGATGAATACACACCAAATTTTTTATTTACCCACCATGCTTAACTATCTACTGTCCTTTGTATTATAAAAACAATAGGTATGGTAGCTTATGCCTGAAATGCCAACACTGTGGGAGGGGAGGCTGGTGGATCACTTGAGGCCAGGAGTTGGAGATGAACCTAGCCAACACGGTAAAACCCTCTCTCTACTAAACATACTGAAATTAGCTGGGCATGGTGGCGCATGCCTGTAGTCCCAGCTACTCAAGAGGCTGAGGCAGGAGAATCGCTTGAACCCAGGAGGCGGAGGTTGCAGTGAGCTGAGATCGTGCCATTGCACTTCAGCCTGAGTGACAAAGTGAGACTCTGTCTCAAAAAAATAAAATGAGACTGTCTCAAAAAAAAAAAAAAAAAATTTTAAAAAACCACAATAGGTGTGCTAAGTATAAAATCATGATATTATATAGGCATTTTAAAATGTGCAGTACTTTCTCCCTTACCGTCAGTGTTTTTCCATGCACCATGCATTGATCAGAGAACATGGACTGTCCACCATAGGGGTGTGTGTGTGTGTGTGTGTGTGTGTGTGTGTGTCTGTCTATCTGTCTCTTGGACCCTCCGCCCCAAGTGTGTTTTAGAGTTCTTATAAAATTAGAATTCTTCTCTTCCTTTGAAAAATGATAGGATCTTGTCGCATGATGTCTAGTTGCCTGAGTTTCTTGCCTAGAGCTTAAATAATCCTTGTTTGGGAGCATGGTTGGGCTCCTGCTTGACCGCTTTTATTCATGCTACTTGTCAGTCTCCCTCAGGGTTCCTTAGTCTGTCCTTGAGTACCTTTGCTCTGGGGCAGTGAGGAAGCAGACTGCAAAGAGACCCAGCCTTCATTCCTAGGTAAAATCCTTGCATATGAAATATGAACTAGTCTCTCACCATCATGGCAGGGTGGAAAACTTCTTGCATGCTCTCACTGAGGAGTTGGCTACTACCTTCTCCCCTGATTGAACTTTCAAGCCTCTGGAGGCAGGGGGCCAAATGCCTGGTCTTGGCCTCCCTGCTCCTCTGGGCAGATGTTCTAAGCTCTTGTGGTTTTCCTCTTGGGAGTTTCTCACTACTTTCCCTTTTTTCTCCCCCTCTTCTTAGCCTTGCATCATCAAGATTAAAAACTTTTTTGATGCAGAAGATTATTATCTTGTTTTGGAATTGTAAGTAGCAAACTTTTTAAAAATTTGTTCCCTTTCAAATGCTTATAAAGCCACCAAAGAATCTAATGTAGGCTTGCCTTTCTCATCCTGGGGACCTCAACATATGTATGTAGTAGTGGGGCCCACAAAGTCTGTGTATGGGGGGTAATATTAATCCTAAAAACTCTCCAATGTTTCCAAAGGTAGGTGGTATGGGATTCCAGGCCCTGGATCTGTGACCTGGGCTTGAATTCCACCCTGCAGGTGACAAGCTGACCACCCATGGGTGAGTTTATTTCATCTCTCTGAGTTTCATCTTCCTAGTGTTAATTGGGGATTTTAATGTACCCCCACCTGCAGAGTCCTTGTGAGAATTAAATGCTGGCTGGGTGCGGTGGCTCACGCATGTAATCCCAGCACTTTGGGAGGCCAAGGTGGGCAGATCATGTGGTCAGGAGTTCAAGACCAGCCTGACCAACGGAGAAACCCCGTCTCTACTAAAAATACAAAAATTAGCTGGGCATGGTGGTGCATGCCTGTAATCCCAGCTACTCCAGATGCTGAGGCAGGAGAATTGCTTGAACTGGGAGGCAGAGGTTGCAGTGAGCTGAGATTGCGCCATTGTACTCCAGCCTGGGCTACAGAGTAAGACTCTGTCTCAAAAAAAAAAAAAAAAAAAAAGAATTAAATGCTATGAGGGATGGAAGAAATCCCCCAGCAGAGCAGCACCTGGCACATACGTGTACTCACCATGTTATAATTAGCTCACCATTAACTGTGGGTTTCCACATTCTTGTATTCAGCCAACCTCAGATAGAAAATACTTACAAAAATAAAATGGATGGTTGTGTCTATACAGACATTTTTCTTATTATTTTCTCAACAGTACATTAGAACCACTATTTACATAACATTTATAATGTATTAGGTTTTGTAAGTAGTTTAGAGATTATATAAAGTATGCAGGGCTGGGCGCAGTGGCTCATGCCTGTAATCCCAGCACTTTGGGAAGCTGAGGTGGGCAATCACCTGAGGTCAGGAGTTTGAGATCAGCCTGCCAACATGGTAAAACCTCATCTCTACCAAAAATACAAAAACTATCCAGGTGTGGTGGCGCACGTCTGTGATCCCAGCTACTTGGGAGGCTGAAGCAGAATCACTTGAACATGGGAGGCAGAGGTTGCAGTGAGCTGAGATTGTGCCACCATACTCCAGCCTGGGCCACAGAGCGAGACTCCATCTCGAAAAATAAAGAAAATAAAATATACAAGAGACAGCCTGGGTAATAATGTTGAAATCCCATCTCTATCAAAAAAAAAAAAAAAAAAACCGGCCGGGTCTGGTGGCTCACGCCTATAATCCCAGCATTTTGGGAGGCCGAGGTGGGTGGATCACAAGGTCAAGAGATCGAGACAATCCTGGTCAACAAGGTGAAATCCCGTCTCTACTAAAAATACAAAAATTAGCTGGGCATGGTGGTACGCGCCTGTAGTCGCAGCTACTCGGGAGGCTGAGGCAAGAGAATTGCTTGAACCCAGAAGGCGGAGGTTGCGGTGAGCCGAGATCATGCCATTGCACTCCAGTCTGGGTAACAACAGCGAAACTCTCTCAAAAAAAAAAAAAAACATAAAAAATGAGCTGGGCACACATCTGTAACCTCAGTTTCAGGAGACTGAAGTGGGAGGATCACCTGTGCTTGGAAAGTCGAGGCTGTAATGAGCCAAGATCATGCCACTGTGCTCCACCTTGGGCAACAGGAATGAGACTCTGTCTCAAAAAAAAAAAAAGTATATGAGATGATATAAATAGATTATATGCAAACATAAGGGGCTTGAGGATCATGGATTTTGGTATCTGAGGGGGCCCCTGGAATCAATCTCCCATGGATACTGAGGAATGACTACTCTGAAATATCTGCCTGGGTAGGCCTTTGTACCCAGGTCCTTTCAACCTAGGACCAGGTTGCATGGTGGCATCTGAGTATCTTTCTGTGTCTTGGTAGTTTATTTCAATGGTGATAATGTCTTATGTTATTTAGTATAATCAGAATGACTTCCTGCCTCATTTCTGGAAGATGCCTGTCTTGATGTCTGCTCCTGTATAAATATTAAGTGTTTCTGGGAGCAGCTGTTGTGGGAGGCACAGAATGTTTTGCTTCTGGCTGACAAATGGTATCTATGCAATGTGATCATTAAGACTGTATAGAAAACAGGCCCGTTGCTGTGGCTCACACCTGTGATCCCAGCACTTTGGGAGGCTGAGGTGGGTGGCTCCCTTGAGGCTAAGCGTTCAAAACATGCCTGGCTAACATGGCAAAACCCCATCTCTACCAAAAATATAAAAGTTGGCCAGGTGTGGGGGACATGCCTTTAGTTCCAGCTCTTTGGGTGGCTGAGGCAGGAGAATCGGTTGAACCCGGGAGGTAGAGGTTGCAGTAAGCTGCGATGGACAGAGCAAGACTGTCTCAAAAAATATAAGAAAAAGAAAATAGATTTTATGGTAAACAGCCCTGATCACAGCACTTGGAGAGCCTGGGTCGAGACAAGCCTGACCAACATGGAGAAATCCTGTCTCTACTAAAAATACAAAATTAGCCAGGCATGATGGTGCGTGCCTGAAATCCCAGCTACTTGGGAGGCTGAGGTAGGAAAATCACTTGAACCCAGGAGGTGGAGGTTGCGGTGAGCCAAGATAGTAGCTGATATTTATTAAGCACTGATTGTAATCTAAGTAATTCTGTAAGTACTTCACATAGGTTGACTCATTCTTTTCATTTATTATTTTTCAAGATGGGGTTTCACCATGATGGCCATGCTGATCTTGAACTCCTGACCTCAGGTGATCCACCCACCTCGGCCTCCCAAAGTGCTAGGATTACAGGCGTGAGCCACCATTCCCGGCCGGTTGATTCATTCTTAACAACAGTTCTGCAGATTACTTACAGGTTATAGGTGGGTTACTATGCTTAGCCCCACTTTAAAAGAAAGAAAAAATGCATCACAGATAGAATAACCTTGCCACACACCTGTGCCAGGAGCTTTTCCTACATCTATTATTGCTTAACTTTTATAACAACCATCAAGGAAGATTGTATCATCCCCATTTTTTAGTGGTAGAAACAAGCTCAGCTATTAAACAAGTTGAATAGCTTGCCCAAAGTCCAAAAACTGGGAAGTGGTAGAGCTGGGGTTCAGATCCTGGTTGTCTGTTTGTAAATTTCTTTTTGCTCTTCTACATCAGTATCAGAATCATCTGTGGTGTGTGATAAAAATGCAAACTCCTGACTGGGCTTGAAGGCTTATGCCTGTAATCCCAGCACTTTGGGAGGGCAAAGTGGGCAGATCACTTGAGGCCAGGAGTTTGAGACTAGCCTGGCCAACATGGCAAAACCTTGTCTCTACTAAAAAAAAAGAAAATACAAAAATTAGCTGGGCATGGTGGTGCATGCCTATAATCCCAGCTACTTTGGAGGCTAAGGCATGAGAGTCACTTCAACCTGGGAAGCAGAGGTTGCAGTAAACCAAGATTGAACCACTGTACTCCAGCCTGGGTGACATCCAGGCTCTGTCTCAAAAGGAAAGCAGACTCCTGGGTCCCACCTCCAAGCTACTGAATCAGATTTTTTTTTTTTTTCTTGAGGCAGAGTCTCACTCTGTCACCAGCGCCAGGCTGGAGTGCAGTGGTGTGACCATGGCTCACTGCAACTTCCACCTCCCAGGTTCAAGCAATTCTCCTGCCTCAGCCGCCCAAGTAGCTGGGACTGCAGGTGCACGCCATCACGTCCAGCTAATTTTTTTGTATTTTTAGTAGAGACAGGGTTTCACCATGTTGGCCAGGATGGTCTCGATCTGTTGAACTCGGGATCTGCCCGCCTCGGCCTCCCTAACTGCTGGGCTTACAGGTGTGAGCCACCGCTCCCGGCCTGAATCAGATTTTTTAAAGTTCCCCAAGTGCCTCCAATGCCCACTCCTTTCATCATTAGTTTCCAACTGGAACATCTGATTGTGAATAAGGCTTATTACCTCATTAGTTTTAAAAATGGAATAAAAGTTAATAAAAATGTCAACTATTTGCTTGTCTTAATGAGTTTGTTTTATTATCTTCTGTCCAAGTGTGTTTCCCCCCAGGAATGAACCCCTTGCTTTGCCTGTGTGTTTCAGGATGGAAGGGGGTGAGCTGTTCGACAAAGTGGTAGGGAATAAACGCCTAAAAGAAGCTACCTGCAAGCTCTATTTTTACCAGATGCTCTTAGCGGTTCAGGTAAGAAAAGCCTTCGATTTTGACAGCTGAATTTCTTTTAGGTGAATTACTTCCAGAGTTAGGCAGAAATCTAGGGACCATGGATTAAAACTCAGAAGAGAGAATGTGTGTTTACTGTTCTCTTAGCAAAAACATCCTACTCCTTTCACTGAGATGAAAAGCTCTCACTGGCCAGGCGTGGTGGCTCATGTGTGTAATATCGGCACTTTGGAGGTGAGGCAGGTGGATTATGACATCAAGAGACCAACATGGTGAAATACCATCTCTATTAAAAATACAGCAATTAGCTGGGAAAGGTGGTGCATGCTTGTAATCCCAGCTACTAGGGAGACTGAGGCAGGAGAATCACTTGAACCTGGGAGGTGGAGGTTTCAGTGAGCCAAGATCGGGCCACTGCGATCCAACCTGGGTCATATAGTGGGATCTCCATCTCTACAAAAAAATAAAAATAGCCAGGCATGGTGGCATGCACCTGTGGTCTTAGCCACTCTGGAGGCTGAGGTAGGAGAATGGCTTGAGCCTAGGAGGTTGAGGCTGCACTGAGCCGCAGTTATGCCACTGCACTCAAGCCTAGGTGATAGAGTGAGACTGTCTTTTTTTTGAGACAGTCTCACTCTGTCAACCAGACTGGAGTGCAATGGTGAGATTTCGGCTCACTACAACCTACTCCTGGATTCAAGTGATTCTCCTGCCCCAGCCTACCCAGTAGCTGGGATTACAGGTGCTCGCCACCACACCAGGCTAATTTTATTTATTTTTAATTTATTTTTTATTTTATTGAGACGGAGTTTTGCTCTTGTTACCCAGGCTGGAGTGCAATGGCGTGATCTCGGCTCACCGCAACCTCGGCCTCCTGGGTTCAGGCAATTCTCCTGCCTCAGCCGCCTGAGTAGCTGGGATTACAGGCATGTGCCACCATGCCCAGCTAATTTTTTGTATTTTTAGTAGAGACGGGGTTTCACCATGTTGACCAGGATGGTCTCAATCTCTTGCCTCGGCCTTCCAAAGTGCTGGGATTACAGGCTTGAGCCGCCACGCCCGGCCTATTTTTGTATTTTTAATAGAGATGGAGTTTCACCATGTTGCCCAGACTGGTCTCAAACTCCTGACCTCAAATGATCCGCCCGCCTTGGGCTCCCAAAGTGCTGGGATTACAGGCGTGAGCCGCCATGTCTTCCCACAAGCCTTTTTTAAAAAAAATTTTAATTTTAACTTTTTTGGGTACATAAAGGTGTGTGTGTTTATGGGGTACAATGCAAGCCCTTTTTAATGGTGGCTGTCACCTACTCAGTGTATTGCTCCCTTATTGGTTTATTCCGTTTATTTATATTGAGTAACCAATAATAACATGAATTGAGTTTGTGGATATGTGAAAATTTTGTTTCCTAAAAAAATATGGCCAGGCATGGTGGCTGATGCCTGTAATCTCAGCACTTTGGGAGGCTGAGGTGGGAAGGTCACTTGAGACCAGGAGTTCCAGACCAGCGTGGGCAACATTGTGAGACCCTGTCTCTACCAAAAAAAAGAAAGAAAAAGAAATTAGCTGGTTAAAGTGGCATGCGCTGTGCCTATGGTCCTAGCCACTCATGAGGCTGAGGTAGGAGGATCACTCGAGCCCGGGAGGTTGAGGCTGTAGTGAGCTAAGATCATGCCACTGCACTTCAGCCGGGGGGGACAGAGTGAGACCTTGTTGCAAGGAAAAAAAAAAAAGAAATATGGCATAGTATGTTGGTGTTTGTTCATTTTTATATGCTATTTCAGATAATAGAGTTTTCAAAGACAAAGTCTTTGCATTGAGGAATAGGTTAACTCATATATAGAAACAGACAATTTACAAATACATATTTGTACAGATTCCCTTTAAAAATATTCTCGGCTGGGTGCGGTGGCTCACACCTGTAATCCCAGCACTTTGGGAGGCCGAGGCAGGCAGATCACAAGGTCAAGAGATTGAGACCATCCTGGCCAACATAGTGAAACCCCATCTCTACTAAAAAATACAAAAATTAGCTGGGCATGGTGGCACGTGCCTATAGTCCCAGCTACTCGGGAAGCTGAGGTAGGAGAATTGCTTGAACCTGGGAGGCAGAGGTTGCAGTGAGCTGAGATCGTGCCACTGCACTCCAGCCTGGCGCCTGGTGACAGAGACTCTGTCTCAAAAAGAAAAAAAATTTTCTCAGGACTGCAGTAATCAAATATATTATTTTGGTGGAATTTTAATGTTTATTTGGTGTGTTCTCAAAACATTTTCTATTACCCATTTGAATTTTTTTTTTTTTTTGAGACGGAGTCTCACACTGCTACCCAAGCTGTAGTGTAGTGGTTCGATCTCTGCTCACTGTAATCTCCGCCTCCTGGGTTCAAGCAATTCTCCTGCCTCAGCCTCCTGATTAGCTGGGACTACAGGCATGCACAACCATGTCCAGCTGATTTTTTTGTATTTTTAGTAGAGACAGAGTTTCAACATGTTGGCCAGGATGGTCTCAATCTCCTGACCTTGTGATCTGCCTGCCTTAGCCTCTCAAAGTGTTGGGATTACAGGCAAAAGCCACTGCACCTGGCTGGGTTATTTATATCTTAAAGTGAAATGAAAGGTTGATTGTCCTAAGTTCCTTTTTTCATTTCCCTACTTTTTAAAGATCTTCTCAAACAAATTTGTAAACTTTACCCCAACAGTTTTCTATGATTTTGGAGAATATGGTTGTGTGCATCACGGCTTATGGTTTCAGCCAGCTGTGAGATGTGTGTATTGGTAACTTTGATTCTACTTAAGTATCTACTGCATGAATCTGAGGGTCATGACTGCCTTTCTGTGTAGTACCTTCATGAAAATGGTATTATACATCGTGACTTAAAGCCAGAGAATGTTTTACTATCATCTCAAGAAGAGGACTGTCTTATAAAGGTAAGAAATTGGCATTCTGTATGTGGCTATTCCTATATATTCTTATTTAGAAACTTTTAATTCCTCAAATAAAAAGGTGGGAGCATAAAAAGGTTGAAAATCTGACCTTTTCAGTCTTATCAGTTATTTTAGAGATCAGGTGATATTGCTCTTGTCCAGATTTGAATTAGCATTTATTAAGCTCTGTTGTGTACAAGTGACCTTTGTGCTCAGAGAGAGAGGAAGGGTCTAAGTGGGCCGAGCCCAGTGGCTCACACCTGTAATCCCAGCATTTTGGGAGGCTGAGGCAGGCAGATCTCTTGAGGTCAGGAGTTTGAGACCAGCTTGGCCAACATGGCAAAACCTCATTTCTACCAACATACAAAAATTTAGCTGAGCATGGTGGTGGGTGCCTGTAATTCCAGCTACTTGGGAGTCTGAGACATAAATCACTTGAACCTGGGAGGCAGAGGTTACAGTGAGCCAAGATTGCACCACTGCACTCCAGCCTGCACAGAAGAGCAAGACGTCATCTCAAAATAAGTGAATGAATGAATGAATAATCACATACCCTGCCTTTCCCTGTTTCTCAAGCCTGGCATCACTTTAGAATCTCTTGTTAGGATTTATGACACCAAGCTTCACCTCAGAAGCTGAGAGTGGCATTCAGGTATAAGAATGCGTGTCCAGGCTCCCCAGGTATTCCATAGTGGAGCCAAGTTTGAGACAATGGGGTCTGAGAACCAGGTAGAACTAATTAGAATCCTGAAGTGTCTGTGATAATGGTTATAAGCTTTTTGTAAGATTACAGAAAACATAGGTTAGGTTAAGTTGGAAAGCCTCAGTGTTGAGATTCCTAGGCTCAGGAATTTTAATTTAAACAAAATTAAATGTCTTAATTTGCAAAGACATGAATCTGTAGATTCCAGATTAATGGCAGGTGTGAGTTTTACAATAGCAACGAATCTAGCCTATGTGTCTTCTTGGACTGGCAAACTATATTAATCTTTTCATTTTATGACATAGTTCAACATTATTCCCTTTTGTACTGAATTTTAGATTACTGATTTTGGGCACTCCAAGATTTTGGGGGAGACCTCTCTCATGAGAACTTTATGTGGAACCCCCACGTACTTGGCTCCTGAAGTTCTTGTTTCTGTCGGGACTGCTGGGTATAACCGTGCCGTGGACTGCTGGAGTTTAGGAGTTATTCTTTTTATCTGGTAAGAAACATTTTCAGTGCTTCGCAGACTGGTAGGAGTTGATTAGATGAAGTCACAAATGTGTCTTGCTCCATTGGCCAGGCTGGCTTGCAGTGGCTTGATCTTGGCTAACTGTAGCCTCTACCTCCTGGATCAAGTGATCCTCCCACCTCAGCCTCTCGAGTAGCTGGGACTACAGGTGCACACTACCATGCCTGGTTAATTTTTCTATTTTTTGTAGTGATGGGGTTTCGCCATGTTGCCCAGGCTGATCTTGAACTCCTGGGCTGATCTTGATCCTCCTGCCTCAGCCTCCCAAAGTGCTGGGATTATAAGCATGAGCCATTGTGCCCAGCCTAGCTCACTTTTTGATCACTGATTTAAAGAAAAATCTGACTTTTCATTATGCTGAAAAGGAAACCTATATATGAGAATGCCACTTGATTTCTTTCCTTTCTTTCTCTGCCAATATTAAGCCTTAGCGGGTATCCACCTTTCTCTGAGCATAGGACTCAAGTGTCACTGAAGGATCAAATCACCAGTGGAAAATACAATTTCATTCCCGAAGTCTGGACAGAGGTCTCAGAGGAGGGTATGAATACGAAATGGTTAAGAATTTGTGGTAAGCTAAAATGTGTATGTGCTGTGGTGGGAGTTTCTTTCCAAATTCCTTGGTGTTTTTTCCTGTCAATTCTGTTCTTATTTTATATTGTTAGTTTCACACCATTTGAGAGGCACTGGAAATTGTTAAGAGCATGCGCTCAGGTCCTGGGTCTGCTACTACTTAGCCGTGTGGCCTTAGGCAAGTTAACTCCACTCTCCATTTTCTTTCTGTGTAAAGGGACCCTTAATAAACCCCTACCTTAAAAGGTTTTCGTGAGGGCTAACTATAATGTACACAAGTGCCTGGTACCTGTTTTAGTGAACAAAGTAAGTGCACTTGTAACTTTTTAGTTACAAGGTTTCCTTTGAGTAAGGAAGCATATAAAAACTAGACATCATTAGTTACCTTCTATTTTATAATTTATCCTGGCAACTTTAGTTCCCTGAAGAGAAAGTAGAAAATTAAATGTCAAATAATATAGATGTTTGTGTTAAATGTCAGAATATTTAAGGAACAATAGGGTTGCAGTATACAAGCCAGCGTGCATTTGTTGCTTGCTGGAGTGTCAAGTTTTATTTCTGACAAGTCTGTAGTTCCAAGGAACCTCCCCCTGGCTGAGTAACTCTCACCCATCAATCTGTGAGTGTCAGGGAGAGTTTGCTGTGCATCCCAAGTATCTTAGAATTGCGTGGAAGTTCAGCTTTAATTCGTTTGACCTTGAGTTTAGCAGCAAAAGAGGTTCAGGCAGCTAGGAGCTCCTCACTGACATCCCAGCAGCAGGAGACGGGGAGTGTCATTATCATTCCTGGTCTTCTCACAGTACTCTGAATAGAGTCAGGAAGGTTAGGGGGCCCTGTCTGCTGACTCTGATGATCTCAGACCCTCTCTGCTCTTTCTGGATGGTTGCCTGTTAATTTTGGCATACTATGATATTGCTGACTTAATATATTTATCCTTTTTGCTTTTATTTGCCCAATTGTTGCTTTAGCTCTGGACCTTGTCAAGAAGTTGTTGGTGGTGGATCCAAAGGCACGTTTTACAACAGAAGAAGCCTTAAGACACCCGTGGCTTCAGGTGGGTGTGGGACAGTGCCTGCAGGCATAAAATACATGGGAACCCTGCTGCCTAAAAGACCTGAGGCAGAGGACAGAAACATGTTTGCTTTGTTGGGCCTGTTTAATTTAATTATTTTAGATGTATGGGGGTTATCTTACATGATGGGTTACAACCTGTTTTTGTTTTTTTTTTTTTTTGAGACAGGGTCTTGTTTTGTTACTCAGGCTGGAATGCAGTGGGGTGATCTCAGCTCACTGCAACCTCCGCCTCCACAGTTCAAGCGATTCTCATGCCTTAGCCTCCCCAGTACTTGGGATTACAGGTGTGTGCCACCACATCCACCTAATTTTTGTATTTTTTTTAGAGGTGAGGGTTTGCCATGTTGGCCAGGCTGCAACCTTTTTGATGTTACTCATGGCTGTTGGATGTACAGCTCACTTTATGTTCTGTTCTGGTTCCACTTGGCTGTCCCAAGTTCCCAGTTTGGCCTCTGTTCCTTTGAGGGCTTGTTCTGGCTCCACCCGCCATGTCAACCACTCCCCATAGGTGGGATGCATTCCAGCCATCTTCAACCTTAAATCAGGGAAGCTGGGGGATGGGGGAGGTGGAGGGCAGCCTCCCTGGGGAGAATCCAGCTATTTCTCAAGCCCAAGTGACTGGATATAAAGGGTCCCACTGCTTGTTCATCGAGGTGAGTAAACATGCCCTTAGTGAAGGCTGTCACTTGCACCTTTTGTCTGTGTTACTGCTGTGTTCCTGCTAGGAGTTGGGGCTGCCATTATTATATGCTGACCTCATTTGGAGCTGCCAGAGTTGGAAGTACTTTGTTGCTTTGCTGGGTTAATCTTTCGTTTTGGAATTAGCTACAGCATTGGGCAGGTTTTTCTGATAGATGTCTGGTCTTCTGTTATAAGCAGTTCCGTTCAACACAGCCATGCCTCTTTCTGTTAATTTTCTTTTAGTGTGTGTATTGGTCTGTTCTCTCACTGCTATAAAGAACTGCCAGAGACTGGGTAATTTATTAAAGAAAAGTTTGATTGACTCACAGTTTCAATGGCAGGGGAGGGCTCAGGAAACTTACAATCATGGTGGAAGGGGAAGAAGGCATTTCTTAATGGCAGCAGGTGAGAGAACATGTGAAGGAAGCGAAGGGGAAAAAGAGCCTCTTATAAAACAGTCAGATCTCCTGAGAACTCACTATCATGAGAACAGCCTGGGGGAAACCACCCCCATGAACCAGTCACTTCCCAACAGGTCCCTCTCTCAACACCTGGGGATTATTACAATTTGAGATGAGATTTGGGTGGGGACACAAAGCCAAACCATATCAGTCTGTTTTCTGTGCAGTTGGGGGACTGAACCAGGTAGCGTGAACTAGAGGCTGTTACTTGAGCTACATCCTGTTTCTCTGGGGATTACTGGTTCAGGAACTCCTTGGGCAATCCAGCCTCAGCCCTGTACTTCTGGGACTCCGGGAAGATTCCCCATTCTCTTCCAATCCTCTATACCTGACAGTTTTGCTCAGGCCTGACAGTTCTCAGGTTGAGAACAACAAATCCTTAAAAAAAAAAAAAAAAGACAGATATATGTGTTTTGGATGTCACCATGGAAACTGCAGTCTCCCCAGAAGAAATCTGTCAGATGATTTACCGCTTAATAGACCACACAGATTTGAAACAGCAGGACCCTGGAGGAAAGGAGTTTGGAAACAAAGGGTGCCTTTGCATGTGGGGATTTAATTGTGATGAAAAAGAGAAACATGCCTTTTGGCTCTTTTCATGTGTCCTAATAGGGAAACTCTTGGGTATAAATGTAGAAGTACAGGAGCTGTTTTTGTCTCTAACGAAAGAAAAAAAAAAAAAAAAAAGAATTGACCAGTTGAGCCTGGGAACAAGGTTTGCATCTGCCTGAAATTTATGAACAAGCACAGCCTATTTTTTTGTTGTACTTCTTTGTCTCAAAGAAAACTTAATAACAACCAAGGAGAAGGGGAAGTTCAACTCTGTTGCAAGGTATCCCTGGAATACTCTTTTCTCCACCTTTTTTGTAGCAAAAGGAGGAAGGAACATTGAAGACAAGGATGAAGACTGACCATCTAAAACATCTGTTAGTGATGGTTGAGGTTTTATTTTGGGAAAATTCAGTGTTTTTGAAGAAACCAAACGGTTTTGTGGGTCTGGTGCTGGACAGAATATTGGAAATGTGGATTCTGGTCTCTGTTTTGTCATTATCAGAGTGCCCAGTTTTGGGAGCGTCCTTTATATCTACTGTCTGCCTCATGTTTACTGCCTGAAATAGAGGATTTCTTCTGTTTGCTTTCAAGGGATATTATACTTGACTTTTTATTTTATTTATTGTTGGTGACAAGGTCTTCTTCTGTTGCCTAAACTGGAGTGCAGTGATGCAATTACAGCTCACTGCAGCCTCGACCTTTTGGCCTTAAGAGATCTCCTGCCTCAGCCTCACAAAGTGCTTGGATAATAGGCATGAGCCACTGTTTAGCTAATTGACTATTTTGGAATAGTTGTAGACATCATGAAGGACATCAGTGTTTGTTTGTTTTTATTTATTTATTTTGTTTTTTTGAGATGAAGTCTCGCTTTTGTCTCCCAGGCTGGAGTGCAATGGCAAAATCTTGGCTCACTGCAACCTCTGCCTCCAGGTTCAAGTGATTCTCCTGCATCAGCCTCCCAAGTGGCTGGGATTGCAGGCACCTGCCACCATGCCCAGCCAATTTTTGTATTTTTAGTAGAGATGGGATTTCACCATGTTGGCCAGACTGGTCTCAAACTCCTGACTGACCTCAGGTCGTCCACCTACGTTGGCCACCTAAAGTGCTGAGATTACAGGCATGAGCCACTGCACCTGGCCTGATTACTTGTTTTAAATATAGGCTTGATTAGGCTTGTGGCCACTCTGGCCTCACTGAAGGGCTGCCAGGTGAAGGGCATTCCATTGTGGCTTTGTATGTTCATTCATTCATTTCTTCAGAGCACAGTTAATGAACTTGTGTGTTAAGCACTGTTAGGCACTGTGCATACAAAAGGAACAAACTATGTCCTTGCCTTGGAGCTGAAAAGTTTGGGTTGGGGCCAGCCTGACCATGGTCATTACAGGTAATAGGGGTAGATGCAGAGTATGCTTTTAAACGTTAGAAGAGGCAGGGCCACTGCCCACAGGACTTGGGGTACTCATACCTTCACACAGTGTGAAGAGTGTCTTAGGGCTAAATGGCCTGGCAATAATAGGGGGGATAAGCAGGTCAGCATTTTCAAACACTTCCTGAATCTCTCTGATATGGAGGCCCTGTGCCTGCCTGGCACCTAAGGGTGCTTACGAAATATTTGTTCACTGAATGAGGAAGGTGGGTCAGGTGAATGGCAGGAAAACAAGGCGGGCATTTCCGGTTGAGGCTGTGGCACGAGCAGGTATAGGGGAAAATAAGAGATGGACTTTTGAGAGTGACACTGCTAGATAATTGAGATCCTAAGTAAGGCTGTGAGAGGGTACAGCATGGAATCCAGATGAGCTTGCTGCTATCAAATGGCAATGGGGAGCTACACTGAGAAAACCAAAACAGTGATAGAAGCAGGTGGTGACTCTAACTACCAAATAGAGGATGGTCAAACCTGTTATTAGTCCTCTAGTACTGTAAAACTCTCTCCTCCCCTCTCCTCCTCTCCTCTCCTTTCTTTTCCGTTTCTCTTTCTTACCTCTTTTTTTTTTTTTTTTTTTTTTGAGTCAGTCTCACTCTGTTGCCCAGGCTGGAGTGCAGTGGTACAGTGGCACAATCTCAGCTCACTGCAACCTCTGCCTCCTGGGTTCAAGCGATTCTCCTGCCTCAGCCTCCCAAGTAGCTAGGATTACAGGCCTATGCCACCACTCCTGTCTAATTTTTGTATTTTTAGTAGAAATGGGGTTTCACCATGTTGGCCAGGCTGGTCTCCAACGCTTAACCTCAAGTGATCTGCCCTGCCTGGGCCTCCCAAAATGCTGTTATTACAGGTGTGAGCCACTATGCCTGGTCCTTCCTTTCTTCCTTCCTTCCCCGTCCCCATCCCTGTCCCCTCACACCCCCCTCCCCTTTCCTTCTCCCTCCCCTTCAATTAATTGTGAGTCACTTCAGTTTAATTGTGAGTCAATTAAACCCCTTTTCTTTGTAAATTACCCCTCCCCTCCCTCCCTTCCCCTTCCCTCCCCTCTCTCCCTCTTTTCCTTCCTTCTTTCTTTTCTTCCTTCCTCAGGGTCTTGCTCTCTCACCTGAAGCGCAGTGGCAGGATCACTCCACCATGACTGTCAGGCTCAAGCTATCCTGCCTTAGCCTCCCAAGTAGCTGAGTCTACAGGTGCATGCCACTATGTCTGACTAAATTTTTTTTTTTTTTTTCTGAGACAGAGTCTCCAGGCTGGAGTGCAGTGGCACTATCTCCGCTCACTGTAACCTTCACCCCCCGGGTTCAAGCGATTTTTCTGCCTCAGCCTCCCAAGTAGCTGGGATTGTAGGCACATGCCACCAGCCCAGCTAATTTTGTATTTTAGTAGAGATGGGATTTCGCCATGTTGTTCAGGCTGGTCTCGAACTCCTGACCTGAGGTGATCCACCTGAGGTGTGAGCCACCACACCCGGCCTTATTTTTAAATTCTTTGTAGTGACAAAGTCCCACTCTGTTGCCCAGGCTGGTCTCAAACTATTGGCTTCAAGCAATTCTCCCACCATGGCCTCCCAAAGTTCTGGGATTATAGGCCTGAGCCACCATGCCCAACCTAGTGTTGTAAAATTTCTGTATCCATCAAATTGTCAAATGGTGGAGGACTTTACTGTTTCCTCTCCATTGCTCACTGTGGTACGCTTGGCTCAGTGGGAGGGGCTGGAGTTGGGTGGGAAGGTACATGAGGCATTGGAATCAGATAACTCTGGGTCTGTATTCTGCACATGCCACCTGTGAGTGGCTGAGCTGGGCTTTTGGCCAGCACTCAAAGCCTACATTCCTAGTTATAGATGTTCCTTTCACTTTGCTGAAGATGGGAGAACTGCACCAAGCCACCAGTCAGGGTTTCCTAATGCAAATCCTTGAAACCTGCAGAAGTGAGCATCCAGAGAGGTGGGAGCTACTCATGTATGCACTCTCTGTGCCCTCCTCATCTCCCCCTCCTGCAGCTTGAAACACCTGTAATGCTTTGTGCTATTTATTGTCTCCCTTTCTTACTAGACCTGAGCTCTGGGATATTGTGGGCTTGAAGTATTTCTGACAGTTTGTATGGCATCTGCTGGGTGAATTTTCCTAGCGTGCTGGGCTGGTTGTTAGGACAGCCTGGGTGACTGGCCTCATTCATGGCAGGGGCAGGGGGTGGAGAGTGGTCCCGGAAAGATTTGAGGAGCTGCACGGAGTCAGGCCCAGTCTCTGGCCTACTGATTGCCATCTTTCTCAGGATCTGGGATACTGATTCAGAAACCGTTGACTGCTGGAGGCTGTGACTGACCCACTGAGAACTTTTAGGCAGGTGGATTTGAGTCAGCCAGGATGGATGGAGCATTGACTGCTAATTAGACTCCTCTGGGAAGGTAGAGGGGGGCAACAGCCTTCGCTGTGGGAGCTTCATCAAGGGGATGATTCTTAGACGGAGTGGATATCTTTTCCTCCCTCTTCCCAGGGGCATGCTAGCCCTGTCATTCTAGGAGCTTTCTTTTTTTTTTGAGACAGAGTTTCGCTCTTGTTACCCAGGCTGGAGTGCAATGGCGCGATCTCGGCTTACCACAACCTCCGCCTCCTGGGTTCAGGCAATTCTCCTGCCTCAGCCTCCTGAGTAGCTGGAATTACAGGCATGCGCCACCATGCCCAGCTAATTTTTTGTATCTTTAGTAGAGACGGGGTTTCACCATCTTGACCAGGATGGTCTCGATCTCTTGACCTCGTGATCCTCCCGCCTCGGCCTCCCAAAGTGCTGGGATTACAGGCGTGAGCCACCGCGCCCGGCCCTACTTAATGTTTCTAATTCCCTCACAGGATGAAGACATGAAGAGAAAATTTCAACATCTACTGTCTGAGGAAAATGAATCTGCAGCTCTACCCCAGGTTCTAGCCCAGGTATTTTTATTCCTTTTGATCACGAAATGTAGTCTGGGCTTAAACAGCTGATAAGCAAAGATGATGAGTTTGAAGATTTTCCTGAGTAGCAATTGCTTAACATTTAGTTATAATGTAGTAGATACTGTTTTAACTGGATCCACTCCAGCACCCTCAGATTTTAAAATGCAGGATATGTTTAATATCTAACACATAATAGACAGATAATCACAGCTATGGATTGTCATCCAACAGGTCACCTGCAAGCCAATTTCGAAAGACTCTATTTAGAGGCTCAAATATAAATTTGTTGAAAAAAATTTTTTTCAACAAATTTATATTTGTTGGGTCAGTGGTTGATTCCTTGATTATTATTTTACTTTTGTTTTTTTTTTGAGATGGAGTTTCGCTCTTGTTACCCAGGCTGGAGTGCAATGGCGCAATCTCGGCTCGCCGCAACCTCTGCCTCCTGGGTTCAGGCAATTCTCCTGCCTCAGCCTCCTGAGTAGCTGGGATTACAGGCACGTGCCACCATGCCCAGCTCTTTTAGTAGAGACGGGGTTTCACCATGTTGACCAGGATGGTCTCTATATCTTGACCTCGTGATCCACCTGCCTCGGCCTCCCAAAGTGCTGGGATTACAGGCTTGAGCCACTGCGCCTGGCCTGTAATTTTATTCTTTAATGTTCTTTGTAAGCATAAGTTAATTCCAGTCCTGGTGTTTTGTGTGTGTGTGTGTGTGTGTATGGTAGCTCTCCTTTTTCCCACTGTTTCCTTCCCTCCTTTTGTTTTTTTGTTTGTTTTTTTTTTTTTGAGAGAGTCTTGCTGTGTCACCTAGACCAGGGTGCAATGGCTCAGTCTCAGTTCACTGCAACCTCTGCCTCCTGGGTTAAAGCAATTCTCCTGCCTCAGTTTCCCGAGTTGCTGGGACTACAGGTGCCCGCCACCATGCCCAGCTAATTTTTGTATTTTTAGGTGAGATGGGGTTCTGCCATGTTGGTCAGGCTGGTTTTGAACTTTTGACCTTGAGTGATCTGCCCACTTTGGCCTCCCAAAGTGCTGGGATTACAAGTTTGAGCCACTGCACCCAGCCTTCATCCCAATTTTATGTATGGGAAAACAACTAAGGCACAAAGATTGTCTTTCCGCAAAAGAGCAAGACTTGGGGCTTCAACTGAGAAGTATTATATACATTTTAAACTTGATATTTAGAAGAAGATGATTGAGAGGAAGTTGGTTATGCTGCTTGCTTTCAGTATACATCATTAAGAAGTCAGAAGCCATGAGGGAGAGAAATACCTGTTAGATAAGCATGTCTGAGTTGGGGGCTGTGGTGGGGACTCAGTTGTCAATGATGACAAATTATTTATTTGTTTATTTTGGTACTAGAGTTTCACATCAAATGCCCCCACTTTATTAGAAGCATATTGGGGAACTTAGATAATCTTAAAGAAGCCAGTGATTTTCTATTGAACATTTCTCCATTCTCCTTTATTTTCAGCCTTCTACTAGTCGAAAGCGGCCCCATGAAGGGGAAGCTGAGGGTGCTGAGACCACAAAGCGCCCGGCTGTGTGTGCTGCTGCGTTGTGAACCACTGCTGCGTTGTGAACCCCATGGACCTTCTTTCACTGTCATCTTTCTTTTCTTTTTTTTTTTTTGAGACGGAGTTTCACTCTTGTTACCCAGGCTGGAATGCAATGGTGCGATCTCGGCTTACCGCAACCTCCACCTCCTGGGTTCAGGCAATTCTCCTGCCTCAGCCTCCTGAGTAGCTGGGATTACAGGCCCAGCTAATTTTTTATATTTTTAGTAGAGACAGGGTTTCACCATGTTGACCAGGATGGTCTTGATCTCTTGACCTCGTGACCACCCGCCTCGGCCTCCCAAAGTGCTGGGATTACAGTCTTGAGCCACGGTGGCCGGCACTGTCATTTTTTCAAGTCTGTTTTTCATAGTTTGTATTTTAATTATGGGACAATTGCTTTTTCGCTGTCACTGATTTACAATTAAAAACCTGATGGAATCTGAGCTTTGTGCTTCTGCTTGATAATCAGTTCTTTAGTTGAATGGCTTTATTATTTATTTATTTGAGACAGTCTCAATCTGTCACCCAGCCTGAAGTGCAGTGGCACAAACTCGGCTCCCTGCAACCTCTGCCTTCCAGGTTTAAGCGATTATTGTGCCTCAGCCTTCTGAATAGCTGGGATTACAGGTATGCACCACCATGCCTGGCTAATTTTTGTTTTTGTGGGTTTTTTTTTTTTTTGAGACAGAGTCTCACTCTTTCACCCTGGCTAGAGTGCAGTGTCATGATCTCAGCTCACTGCAACCTCCACCGCTTAGGTTGAAGCACTTCCTCTGCCTCAGCCTCCCAAGTAGCTGGGACCTACAGGTATGCATCACCATGCCCAGCTAATTTTTAAAAATTTTTTAGTAGAGACCGCCTTTCACCATGTTGGCCAGGATAATCTCGATCTCCTGAGCTCGTGATACACCCGCCTCGGCCTCCCAAAGTGCTAATTTTTCTATTTTTAGTAGAGACAGGGTTTTGCTATGTTGGCCAGGCTGGTCTTGAACGCCTGACCTTAGGTGATCCACCTGCCTCAGCCTCCCAAAGTGCTGGGATTACAGGTGTGAGCCTGGCCTGAATGGCTTTTTTTTTTTTTTGAGATGGAGTCTCACTCTCTTGCTCAGGCTGGAGTGCAATGGCGCAATCTTGGCTTACTGCAACTGTTGACTCCCAGGTTCAAGCTATTCTGCCTCAGCCTCCTGAGTAGCTGGGATTACAGGTGACTGCCACTACGCTTGGCTAATTTTTTGTATTTTTAGTAGAGACGGGTTTCACCATGTTGGCCAGGCTGATCTCAAACTCCTGACCTTGTGATCCGCCCACCTCGGCCTCCCAAAGTGCTGGGATCACAGGCTTGAGCCACCGTGCCCGGCTGAATATAAATTTTAAGGGCCCTGTGGAAAGTTCCAGGGAAAGGAGCATAGCGAGGTTGGGGGTGGAGTTTTTAGAGACTGGCTGGCTGTCTACCAACATCTTAATGAGAACAGCAGGTACCTTGGTGCATAGTAACAGGCCAGTTTACATTCTCATCCTCGCCCTCATAAAGATACAGGTCTATAGTCTCTGAAACCTTTGGGCTAGATAAATTGTGAAACTTAATTATCCAATTTTAGGAAGATGATAAGGCACATCTATGATGTATATGTGTAGCACCCCAGTGGAGTCCCATAACCAAACGTTAATATTTCCACAGCAAATATTCACAGTAAGAGGGATAGAGAAAGATTATAGGTAGTTGCATATTAGTTCATAGCAGCCTTTTCTTCCAAATGAGTTACAATGACTTGGTTTTGAGAGCTGTTTGGGTTTTAGAAGTGGAGATGAGGCGTGTGGTCAGTTATGTCATGTTCACCCAATAATGACCAGGGAGGCCCTGTGCAAAGACTTACCCCCTTGGCTGCTCTTGCCCTCACAGTGATTCTGTGAGTGAGGTCCTCCAGCCATTGTCATGTCACAGGTAAGGGACCCAAAGTTAGAGGAGGAAAGTAACTTCTGATGTCGCACAACTGAAAAACTGCAGAGCTGGGACCCAACTCAGGTCTTTTTGACTCTAAAACTAAAGTTCCACTGAATCTGCTTTGATAACTTTGCCTGGTTGATGCTAGGGCACTCCATAGCTCACTGGCCATGCCATGAATTGAGTGCCATGGTTCAGATGCCACTGGTGATTCAGTAAGGGCAGGGTCAGGGGCACACAGCTGCTTCCTTAGGAAATGGGGGTGGTGATTGGCAATTTCCATTAGAAGGTTGTATAAGCATTCTGAGACTTGGCTGGCCCGGTGTAGGGAGATTGATGGGAATTTAGGTGTTTTGCATGTTTAAAGAATGAGGCTGAGATTGGTTTTAGCTCATTTGAATATTTAATGTGGAGGCTGTGGTTTCCTGGGACATTTTTCCCACTTGTGCAGAGTTAGCTGGCCCTTCTCTGTTTCTAGAGCATTTTATATTAACTCCTCTCATGATACCTTCTATGGTAGGCTGAATAATGGCCCCTCCAAAGTGTCCTACTCTTTTTTTTTTTTTTTTTTTACAATGTTAATTCACTTTATTTTTCTTGTATAAAAACCCTATGTTGTAGCCACAGCTGGAGCTTGGGTCTTCTGCACAGAGACTCTGGTGTGGGTCTTGACAAGGTGGTCAGTGAATTCCTGATAGGGAGACTTGGTGAACACTGTCTCCTTCCAGAGATCGGGGGTCAGGTAGCTGTAAGTCTTAGAGATGGCATCAAAGGTGGCCTTGGCAAAGTTGCCCAAGGTGGCAGTGCAGCCCCTAGCTGAGGTGTAGCAGTCATCGATACCAGCCATCATAAGCAGCTTCTTGGGCACAGGTGCTGAGACGATGCCAGTACCCCTGGGCGCGGGGATGAGACGCACCAGCACAGAACCACAGCGGCCTGTCACCTTGCAAGGGATGGTGTGGGGCTTGCCGATCTTGTTCCCCCAGTAGCCTCTGCGCACGGGGACAATGGAGAGCTTGGCCAGGATGATGGCCCCACGGATGGCAGTGGCCACCTCCTTGGAACACTTAACACCCAGACCGACGTGACCATTGTAGTCCCCAATAGCAACAAACGCCTTAAACCTGGTGCGCTGGCCAGCACGGGTCTGCTTCTGCACCGGCATAATCTTCAAAACCTCATCCTTGAGAGAGGCCCCCAGGAAAAAGTCAATGATTTCAGATTCCTTGATGGGCAGAGAGAAAAGATAGATCTCCTCCAGAGATTTAATCTTCATGTCTTTGACCAGGCGGCCCAACTTGGTGACAGGCATCCATTCCTTATCCTCGGCTTTGCCTCCGCGAGCTCCGCGGCCTCGGCCCGGGCCCCGGATGCCACTGCTGAAACCTCCGCGGAAGCCACCGCGGTTCCCCATCCCGGGGCCTCCAGGCCCCCACGCTGCACCGGCGTCATCCGCCATTTGGTGTTTTATTGGAGAAGAAGAGTGTCCTACTCTTAATAGCCAGAATCTGTGAATATGTTTCTTTCCATGACAAAAGGGACTCTGCAGATGTGATTAAGCATCTTGAGATGGGAGCTTATCCCATGTTACCCGTGGGCCCAGTGTCCCACCACAGCGCTCTTTTAAGAGGGACTTAGCAGTCAGGGGAGATGGCAATATAATGATGACTGAGTGTCTTAGTCTTTTTTTATATTGCTATGCAAAATCTGATACTGGGTAATATATAAAGAACAGATTTATTTCTCACAGTTTTGGAGGTTGGGAAGGTTGAGGGGCCCTCTTCTGGTGAGGGTCTTCTTGCTGTGTCATCCCATGGTAGAAGGCATCACATCAAGAGAGAAAGGGGGCTGAACTCATCCTTTTATTAGGAATCTACCCCCATGACAATTAACCCTCTGCTGAGATAACACCCTTACTCTTAATGAGGGCAGATCCTTTGTGACCTAATCATCTCTTAAAGGTCCCACCTCTCAACACTGTTGCACTGGAGATTAAATTTCCAACACATGAACTTTGGGGGACACATTCAGACTATAGCACTGTGCAGAGATTGGAGTGGTGTGCTTTAAAAATGGAGGAAGGGGCCACAATCCAAGGAATATAGGTAAGCACTAAAAGCAGAAAAAGGCAAGAAAATAGATTTTCCATTTAGAACCTCCTGAAGGAATCAGTTCTTAACATCTTGACTCCAGCCAAATAAAACTGATTTGAGGCTTGTGACCTATAGAACCATATGAGATTAAGTTTGCAGTGTTGTAAGCCAGTTTGTGGTAATTTGTCACAGCAGCCATAGAAAAATAATTGAGTCACCAATGGGAGAAATCAGCTGCTGATTCAAGGCTACCTAGCACCTACTTCCTCTCCTAACCCCACTCTAATTTTCTCTTGGAAGAATTGTTTTCCCTCTTCTATTAAGTTATGGAAGATGGGGCCAGGCATGGTGGCTCAGCAATCCCAGCACTTTGGGAGGCTAAGGCGGACAGATCACTTAAAGTCAGGAGTTTGAGACTAGCTTGACAAACATAGTGAAACCTTGTCTCTACTAAAATACAAAAATTAGCCAGGCATGGTGGTGGGCACCTGTAATCCCAGCTACTCCGGAGGCTGCAGCACAAGAATTGTTTGAACCCAGGAGTCAGTGGTTGCAGTGAGCTGAGATCACACCACTGCACTCCAGCCTGGGTGACAGAGTGACACTCCATCTCAAAAAAAAGAAAAAAAAAAAAAGCCCTGGCACGGTGGCTCTCGCTTGTAATCCCAGCACTCTGGGAGGCCAAGGAGGGCAGATCACAAGGTCAGGAGCTAGAGACCAGCGTCACCAACATGGTGAAACCCCGTCTCTACTAAAAATATAAAAATTAGCTGGGCTTGGTGACATGTGCTTGTAATCCCAGCTACTCAGGAGGCTGAGGCAGGAGAATCACTTGAACCCAGGAGGCAGAGGCTGCAGTGAGCTGAGAGCATGCCATTGCATTCCAGCTGAGGTGACAGATCAAGACTCAGCCTAAAAAGAAAAAGTTATGGGAGAGGATGGTAAAGCTAAGTATCTTTTGCACCTCCTCCCCCACACTGCAGAAGCTGAAGGGATTCCTAGAGGCTGCTTCTGCTGTGGAGCTATTCCCACTGGCCACCCAGCTGGAGGTGGGTACAGAACTTTCAAACATGAACAAATGGAGCTGGGATGGCAATGGTGAGAGCAATATGTGCTAATCTAAACTCTACTTCCTAATTTTGGCTCTAGGTAAGTTACCTCAAATTGCTGAGTGTTTGTTTCCATATTTATAACATGGGTGCAGTAAGAGTACCAACCTCTTCTATGCTGTTTGGAGGAGGCAGGTCCATAATGTACCTGGCATGTGGTAAGGGATTCATCAATGTTGGCTTCTATTATTAAAGGTGGGAGAACCACATAAGTAGCCATAGGGAATCATAGAAAGTTCTTGAGCCAGAGACAAGGATGGCCTCTCTCACCACTCCTATTCAACATAGTATTGGAAGTT